AATGGTCCATTTCAGTGCAGAAATTAATCTTTAACATGTCCATCTTTAAAAAAATCAATTTTTTCATAGGAATGTTAATATAAACCATTTCTTTTGCAAACTATACATTTTTTCCTTAATTATGTATTTCTTGCCAATAAATGAGAATTATAAAATTTTAGTAATGTAGCTGAAAGTATATGTATGCTATAACATACATTAAGTATGTTATAACATACATATAAGTATGCTATAACATACATTTTTTTATATTTGTTTTATCACTTGGAAAAACACTAGTAAAATTTTGTACAGGTAAAACAAGTAGTATGTTACTGCAAACACCTTAGATGGCAAAGAATGAAAATACCCTTACCATCTTTTTATAATAAGCTCTTAAACCCACCCATCTTTGAAGTCAATTCTTTGTGAAGCAAAAAATCTAAAAAAATGACAAAAATATCCCAAAACTTTTTTGCAACATGAGTAACTTAACTATAAATTTTTGGGCTGGTGCTTTTTAGCTCTGTTTTTCGTGAGTTAATTACGTTATTCATTTTTCAACTATATTTTATCCTGATGCGTAGAAACCAATATATTAATAGATTCTAGTAATAAACTTAGAAATAGGTACCAAAAATAGCCATAAACTTAGAAATAGGTTTTGTACTCTTACCATCCTTTTATAATAATCTCTTAAACCCACCCATCTTTAAAGCCGATTCCTTGTAACTTTTTTTTTGAAAAAAATGACAAAATACATCCAAAACTTTCGTGCAACCTGAGTAAGTTCTTCTAGGATTATCATGTTGATCTGTCCTCCTCTCTCTTCGCATATAGGGAGTCCTTTCCAAGGCCCTGTTGCATAAAACATTAAGGGATTATCAAGCCCTTCGCATCCGAGTTGAGTCAGTCCTTTCTCCCCGCGTTCGCACTACGAATATTATTGTTACAAAACGAAAATTAAGCAATGATTAATAGATCCGTCCTCTGCAGCTCGGAATGAAGATAACCGAATCGCTCGTATGAGGTGGAGAGGTGGTGGAGAGGTGGAAAAGCGTTCGTATTAAAAGCTTTTTGTTGTGCTTTTGTTGTGAGTAATGTGCGGTAGCCAAATTGGGATTAAGCGTTATGAAGTGTGTGAGAAACTGAACATATTTTAGACGAGGAATGACAAATTGCTATTTATTTTTGACGGCTTGGTGTGAATCTTCCTGATTTACTTTTTTATTTTTATTACTGTGTTAACATTTCCATAGACCTTAGCTTAGATAACCAAAAATCATTATTTTATTAATTTTTTAAACATTCTGAAGATTTTTTTACGATTTAGAAATTTAGAAGTGAGTATGTCTTTATAAGCATACAAACCTCTGAACTTCTAATGCATAATTTCAATAACGAAGTTTAATTCAGTTTACGGTATTACGTTATATTTTATTTTTATTAATTTATTCATTTTGCAGAAGGTAGGTTATTAAATGCGCAAAAAATGAACAAAAATTAACTGAATTGCAAAGTTGAAATTATTTGTTCAAAGTATATTAGAACTTAAGTCAGAATTAAAAATAAAATCTGAATCATTTTCGACAAAAAAAATTCTGAAAAAAAAATTTGAGAAAAAATTTTTTTGAAACAATTTTTTTTTCAAAATCAATTTTAAGCTTTGTTGAAATTTCTTCGAATCATTTAAATTGAAACGCTTAGTTCTCTCAAAAACTGCAATTTTCTGCACATTTAGCTCTGTATCTTCGAAATGGTTGGGCCTGCCATTGCCAAAAACTAATAATCAATTCTCACTATCATTACTAATTGAATATTTTTTAGATCATTCAAATCGTATGTTCCGTTCACTCAAAAACTCGATTTCTATTTTCTGCACTCTTTGCTCCGTATCTTCGTAACTGCTGGGCCTGCCATTGCCAAAAACTAATCAGCACATCTCCCTATCAATAGGAATCAAATGTTTTTTGAACCATTCAAATCGGTTGATCCTTGCGCCCGAAAACGTGACCGAAAAATTGTATCCATACATACACATCCATTTTTTCTGAGGTATGCCAAAATGTTCAGAAACCTTCAAAACGTCGAGAAATGTAAAAATTTTCAATTTCGATTTTTGGCCCATTACAATAACTTACCCTACGGGAAGTTAATAACTACCTTTCTAGAAATACTAATGACAGAAGACTTTATCAAATTTAGAAATTAATTGAATTTTATACAGGTTTCAAGTAAAGTGTTTAATATAATACCAACTATTTTGGTGTTTTTTAGATGTTCTATTTATAGTCAAAAATCTCAACTAAATTGTGATTGTGAATTTTAACAGTGAAAAGTGAAAAAATTATAATTTTTTTTCATCTTTTTTTAAGTTATTCTAAAAATATTTGTAAATGAACAGTCTTCTGAGACGTTCTCATCATTTTTTCACTATTTGGAAGTTACTGTTCTTGATGTTCAAATAAACTCCATTAGTATTGCAATATGCAGTTTCCATATAGTTGATTTGTAGAATAAAATCTTGAGCTTTTAGGTTTTAAAACTTTTAATCTTAATGTACTGATATATCAATATATCAATATGCAAAATATGTGATATGCATAAAAAAGTTAAATAAAAATTTTAAATGACTAATTTTAAATAATATGTAAATGTTTTTGCTGTGTTTTATTTGAACAATAAGAAGTTCTATACTACGTAAACAACTGTTTGCAATTCAGTTTGAAAAGAGACCTTTTGTTTTTTATATCATTTTATTTATATAATTTTGATCTTTGTCGAATTACCAAAAAAATTGTCAATTTTAATTTTTCTTTCGTTGACATTATTTCTTTATCGTTCGTTCATTGTTGGACCCAAAAATTAGAATATAGAAAATAAAATATAAATGATTATCGCTCATTCCAATTGATATCTAACTCCAATTTTTAAAATATTGAAGTTTTGTGAAACGCTTTTTCTATATTTTTTTATGTGAAAGTGAATATTAGAAAATTATATTAGAATCGGGTTTTTTTCAAGCTGATTGCTCGCTTTACTTTTCAACAATTTTTTGGCATAGTGCAAAAAAATATATTAGATATAAACATGGAAATTGGTTTTATGCCATAAATTTCCTCCAGCACGAGTAAGACAATACTCAAGCTTTATTCCTTCAGATAGTGTGGAAGCTCTCGAATTACCATTGAAATTGTCAATAATGTATAGAGTTTAACATAAATGATATATATATATATATATATATATATATACATGCATATGAATAATCCATTATTGGTTTGTGCATGATTATAATAGAAATGTCACTGATAAATTAGTATGCATGCGACAGCGTCGACTGTTGTGATTTATTGCAAAGACCTGAGTGTGATAATTATAACGAAATCACTGTTTCTGATTCGTTTTATTTGATTTATGTTTAAAACATGTGCAATATTTTATGACAAACAAAATGCGTGGCTTAGTGCATTGATATCGACACTTTTTTATTTTTGCGCAACGCAATAGATTGCGTTTTATCGCAATACTGTACAAACATTGTTATTGTAGGAAATGATTCTCAATATTTAAATTTTATCAAATAATATTTTATTTGATATATTGATTTATTCTAATTACTATTTTTATGAAATAAAAATATCACATAAAATTATGGACCAAATTTTTGAACATAGTATTAACTATTGGTGTATGGCATCGTGCCTTAAGGCATATTGATGGAAATTTCCATACCGAAAATTAAATTATTAAAAAAAGCTTTGCAAGGTTTTGAAAAAATCAGATTTTTTAGAAATTTTGAAATTTTTGAAAAACATTGACTTTTTTAAATAATTTGTTTTTTTTATATTTTGATTTTCTTTGTGTTTTGATTTATTTTGAAAATTTCGAATATTTTTTTAAGCATTACCATTTTTGGCACTAGGTGCCCTGTATCTCCGAAACGGCTAGACCTGTCTTTGCTAAAAAGTAATCAGCACGTCTTCTTATGAGTAGGAATCGAATGTTTTTTGAAAAAATGGATGTAATGTGTTCGCGAAATCGTTGACGAAAATTTGTATCCGCACACATACACATACATCCATCTTTTCAAAGATGTGCCAAAATGTTCAGAAACCTCTGATCTAGCATAAACTAGACTTCAAAAAAACTTTTTTTCACGTTTCTGAACAATGCACGTTTTATCTTCAGGACAACTGTCTTCTCTTTGGGTAGTCAGTAATAAGACAATCTGAAGCCATTTCGTAGACAGTGTAATAAATTTAAGAAGTGGTTAACATTTTTTTAAATTGGAAAATCATACTAATTCTATACTCGCTCAACTTTTTGAGACACCTGTTTGAATAAGATCTCACAAGACAATATTTAAGACTTCTAATTTTACTACATCTTTGGAGAATTGAGATGAATTGGTGAATCATTAGAGTGGTAACCTACAATTTTTTGTATTTATTTTTTTTAATAGCAATCATAACATTTATTATATACTATGAGTTATTTCGATTGACATTAAAAAAAGTTAATTATATGTAGCAGTTACCGCAGTGGGTATGTTATGTACTATGTGATGAATTTTACTAGATCAAATTAATTGGCCATAATTTTTTCAGTATTCTGAAATTTGGTCCGTTAATTTCATTTGTGTGTTTATAAGTGTCAATGAATGAAATGAACTAAACAGCTTATATAATGTTGTATTCTGATTGCTATCAAAAATAAAAAAAATAATAATAAAAATAAACTTTTGTCAGGATCATTTTCTCATAAGGTAAATCAAGTTGAAATTGTAAAATAAGCAAATGGATTATATAAAAAAATATAAAAACAAAAAAAAAATTTGTAAAAGATTTACAATGGAAAATATATATATATATATGTGTGTGTGTGTGTGTGTAAAAATGTGTAAAGGTCCACATGTTCATATATGTCTCAGCTATATCACTTATGTTTCGGGTGTATATGTTCACATGTGTATATATGCTTCAGCTATATTACTTCCTACATTGATCATCTTGTTTCAGGTCGTAGAAGTCCTCGAGACATACAGCGACCCTAAGGATACAAAACACCGCCCTGCGACCCACTCTCTCAGTAGACCGCAGCCGCAGCTCCAGTCCAGGGAAGAACTTGACGAGGTGCTGACAGAACCGCCATCCACTATCGCGCGATCTAGGTCGACACACTCCGGTAAGAACGATAGAGATATTCAATTTATAGTTTTTTTTAAAAAATAGTACAGATAAGTGTTATTTGGATGAAATATCAATTCAATAAAAATATAAATTAAAATCAGTGGTGCATTGCGTTGAGCTTTGGGGGTGTTTATTAATCACGTGAAGCATTTGGGAGGAGGGAGTTTGACAAAAAATCACGAAAGGGGAGGAGGAAGGTATAGTAAGATATAGTGTATATTCATTTTTTACCTGAATTTTTAAAAAAAAATCAAAAGTTTACGATATTTTCATAAGTTCGAAAAATTTTAAGTAGCACGTAATGTTTGGTGGGGGAGAGGAGGTAATTTTAAATATCACGACGTATCACCAAGAGGAAAGAAAGGTTCAAAAATTCCTAAAATATCGATCACGTGAATAATTAAGGTGACCATATTTTTTTGCCTGAAAATCGGGACGAATTATAATGTGTGCGAGAGCGGGCGGGAGGGGGGTCTTCATGAGCTAAAAATTTATATACACATTTTTTCAAAACCTTGGCATTCAAAACATTTTCGAAAATCCGGGGCAATCCGGGACAAAACACCTAAAACCGGGACAAATATTGCTTTTAGAAAAAGCCGGGGCGCAAGGCGGTAAATCGGGACTGTCTCGGCCAATCCGGGACGTATGGTGTCACCTTAGAATAATGGACGCCCCCTAAGGCAAATTGCTGGTACTTGCCGAACTGTAATCAAACATTTGAGGAATAAAAATAGTCAGTTATCAATAAATCATCGTCGTATTTTATAAATCTAATATAACATAAGTGCTTTTATTTGGGCGACGATCTTTATCTATGTTCATCCACAAGAACGAAAACATAATAAACAAACACCAAGCAATATGTTTCTTAAATCACTCTAATCGGATGCGCCGTTTTTTTCAAAAACTGCTATTTCGTGCACTTTTTGCCCTGTATCTCTAAAACCGCTGGACCTGCCTTTGCAAAAATGTAATCAATTATTTGCCCAATCAATGCAAATCGAAAGTTTCTTTAATCATTCTAATCGGATATGTCGTTCTGTTAAAAACTGCGCTTTTTGCTCTGTATCTCCGGAATGGCTGGACCTGCCTTTGCCAAAAACTAATCCCCTGTCAATACGAATCGAATGTTTTTTTAATTTTTTAAATCTGTTGATTCGTGCTTTCGATATCGTGGACGAAAAACTGTATCTAAACATACGAAGACACACAAATTCATACATATTGTCAAATAAAATCGTTTAAATGTATCGTTTTTTTATACATTTATATACATTTGCATACTTTTACAATACAATTTGACAATTCTACAATTGCAACGCATTGATCGGATAATATAGCTACGATTCCATAAAACACATTTATGAATTATGAATAAGACATTGGACTTTATTTTCTCCTAGTTATTCCCACATTCAAGGTAAAAAGGAGCAGATAATAAATTTTTAAGAGTTAGCAAAAACTAGCATTTCTACATTAATTAATTTTCTAGAAATTTTAGTGAACATAGTTCGATAGTTGCTTGTTTTATATGTGTTATATACATGATGTAGTCGGTTTGGATTTCTCAGAATAAAATTTGAAAATCTAATTGGACCTTTGTGTCCCGCTCTACCCTGTCTATTTATAAATGGCATTTTATTTATAAACGACATTCATAAATGTCATTTTACTAAGGTCCGGTTTGTTCGGACAGTCCTGAATTTCCACCTTGTATAACGGGTTTTTGTAAAAGCAATATTTATCCCAGATTTAGATTTTTGTCCCGGATTGTCCGGTTTTTCGCAAATTAATAGTCAGAGTATGCTATTTTTTTAAATTAATTATGAAGAAAATTGAAAAGATAGTAAAATATAGGAAATATTATAGTATCATAGATAAAAAAGTATTATATATGATACAATAATATAGGTCTTAATAAAAATTCGCAATTCGGATTAGCATAACTAAAAATAGCCGTCCGTTCTGGTTATGACTTAAAAAAATAAAATAAAAGTATTATTAAAAGTCCGCAATTTGGATTAACATAACTAAACATCGCCATCCTGGTTATGACTTAAAAAAAATATGGTCACCTTTATTTTACCTTAATTCTTGATGCTTAAACTTCCGGAAATGTGTAAATAATTGACATAATGAATCAGAAATGAGATTTAGCATCCTTTAAATTAATGCCGTTATAGTTTTGAAATTTTTGCGCGGGTCATTATTAAAAATTTCAATCAATTTTATAAATAAATCACTTTGTTTGAATGTTTGTTTACTCCTACATCTATAAATAGTACTCAAAAGTTGGAATTATTCTGAAACAGAAATTAGCGAGTAATTACGAAGAAACGGCTTGGCCGATCTGCGTCAAAATCTAATCAACACTATTACCAATGAGAGAGAATTCATTATATTAATAAAAGAAGTATGGGTCACTTTTTGTAGTAAGGTTCAAGAGTGTGCTGGTAATTCTTATTCAACTACTTAAAATCATTTCTCAAAATTGTACTCAAAGTCCCTTACTCTCTGTGTCGTTTTTCTAATGTTTATGTTCTGGATTAACACTGCTAATCATTTGAGGAATGAAGCTTGTGATTGCTTGAATTAGATGCAATAGGAAACGGCGCCATTAGTTTTATAGAGTCCCCGGCAGTCGGCACGCTGCAGGCAGAGCTTGGGCAAAATGATTAAGTCCTGATCTCTAGGGGTGAAAACTGCGTAGGGTGGATTGATATCACGGCGACGATCTCTTGAAATCATCCCGGGGATAGTATTGTAATAAAATTTTTGTAGTGCAAAATAGTAAAATATAATAATAATAGCGGATCGTTGTTTAAGTCTGGTTAGGTTGTTTAGGTTATTTTTAATCTTTGTGAATTTGTGGTCTGTAAAACACTGTATTTTGAATATTTTTTTTTTATTTATTAACTTCCCGTAGGGTAAGTTATTGTAATGGGCCGAAAATCGGAATTGAAAATTTTTACATTTCTCGACGTTTTGAAGGTTTCTGAACGTTTTGGCATACCTCAGAAAAAATGGATGTGTGTGTGTGTGTATGTGTGTGTGTGTGTGTATGTATGTATGGATACAAATTTTCGCCCACGTTTTCGGGCGTACGGATCAACCGATTTGAATGGTTTAAAAAACATTCGATTCCTATTAATAAGGAGAAGAGCTGATTAGTTTTTGGCAAAGACAGTTTCAGCAGTTACGGAGATAAGGTGCAAAGAGTGCAGAAAATAGAAATCGAGTTTTTGAGAGAACGGAGCATCCGATTTGAATGATCTAAAAAACATTCAATTAGTAATGATTGGGAGAAGGGGTTATTAGTTTTTCGCAAAGGCAGGCCCAGCCATTACAGAGATACAGAGCTAAATGTACAAAAAATGGCAGTTTTTGAGAGAACTAAGCGTCCGATTCAATTGATTCAAAGAACTTTCTGCTTGTCCTAACAAAATAATTGATTTTGGAAAAAAAAATTTTGTACCATTATTTTTCTTTTTTTTTTTTTTAATTTTTTGTATATCGAAAATAATTCAGATTTTATTTTTAATTCTGACTATAGTTCTAATATACTTTAAACAAATAATTTCAACTCTGCAATTCAGTTTATATAATTCTTATAAATATTAGACAATGTTACAATATTTATAATAATCTATTTGAAAACATTCAGTATTCCACGAACATTTCGTTACGGTACGGGAAGTTCCAGCAATTTGCCTTAAGGCACGATGCCACCCACCCCACTAGTTTATTTATTTATTTGATATAATTTATACATACTGTATCTCAGTCAGACAATTGTTCTGGTATGAGAGATCACAGCAATTATAACAAAAATAAAATCTAAATTTTATGTAACAGACTTAAACATTAAGACATATATTTTTACTTATTACTTACACACATATATACACACACAGAACGCTTGCGTACATACATACATACTTATACTTAAATGTAATTAATATTTTTACAAATCAGAAGTAATATAGTATTTAAAATAGGGATTTTAATTCATTTGTTTCATTTGTCTCTTATGTAATTTTTCAATTTAATTTTGAAGCTGTTTAGGTCTGTCATTGTCTTTAGTTCGTCCGGTAGTTTATTGTAAAGGCTGCTTGCACTAATCAGAGGACTAGCAAGTCCTTTACTCGATTTAGCATGTTTCATGTGAAAGTTTCGGTTTTGTCTCGTTTGATGGTCGTGTATATCTTGGTTTGTCTCTATTGTGGTGCAAGTTTTGATTTTGTTATTTTTTATTTTGAATATTAATATACATTTTTCTATTTCTATTGTTTTGTGTAGTGGTATGTTCTTAGTCTTTTGTAGAAGTTCTTCTGTCGGGGTGAGGTAGGGATAATTGTAAGTTGATTTTATTGCTTTATTCATCATTCTAGGTAGTGTCTTTATATTTTTATTTATGGTTTGACTCCAAATCGTGATGCCGTACGTCTTAATCGGAATTATATGAAATTTTAATATTAGTTCTTTGTTCTTAATTCCAAGATGTCGTATTCTACTTATGGCCCCAGAAAGTGCTGCAATTTTTTGTTTGATTTTTTCAATTTGGTCACTCCATTCTAGTTTCTGGTTTATAATCATACCCAAATATTTAGTTTTTTCTATTTCTTTTATTTCAGTATCGTTGATTAATATTTTTAAATTGCCTATTTTTTTAATTTTGTTACGTCGGAAAAATATATAATTAGTTTTTTTCTGTATTTATAGTGAGTTTATTTTTAAATATAAAATGTATATTTCTGCAGTTATTATTATAATGATAATAATATGTACTATATATGACTGCTAATTAGACAAATATTAACTATAGTTATATTAGATAAATAAGGTTTGGTGGTTCTGCCGGACTGGAACTCGAACCGAACCAAGACAAATAGAAATGATTGTATGATTTAATATACTAGAAAATTAGAGGTACCGGTATAATTAATGAGTTCATAAAATTTTGTAGTGAGAAGGAGATATCCCATATTTTCGAAATGTAAAATGAATTAGATAAAAAATTAATTAAATATTTTTCTGAAGAAAAAAGAGCTTTTTAGTAAAGAAAATTAAAATTATAAATACTCCATAAAATAAAAATGTGCAAAATAATGTAAATAGCATAGTATAATTACGCAGTACACCTAATTATAAAGGCACATCGAGACACTTGTGACTTGAGTTTACAAAGGTTCGTAGGCAATTGAATTTCCCTCGGCATGCCATGCCAGGATAAATTCTAATTAGGCAAACACGATTATAACAATCTTTATGCTAATTCGAGTCACTTCGCGGTACAGTCGGAGCAGGACCTTCGACGATTGAGGGGACCACCGTAGCACCGTAGCACCGTAGCATCGTAGCATCGTAAAAGTTTCATTAAGTGAAAAACGTTTATGAATACCATGAAATATTTTATAAAAATTTTAAACATACTAAAACAATTATTAACTAGTTGTGCATAGCATCGTGCCTTAATACAAATTGGAGTTTCTTGTACCAAAAATTAAAATTGTTACCTATGCCTAGATGATGACGCTATATTTTATATGAATGTTGGTATGAGTGCTAGTATGAATCGATATAAGAGTAGCTATAAGCGCATGATAATAACAAAAGAATAATTAATATATAGTAGCAGACGGCAGTAATAGAGAAATTAGAGTGAGATACGTGTATAATGAAATAGGGACGAATAATTTAATAAAGAGAGCTATTAGAGGCAATAAATGAGTCTTTAGAGATAGAGTGTATTAATATAGAGACGTTAACAAAGTTTTTAAAAAAAATTAAAAAAATTAAAAATTTTAAAAACATTAAAACAACGATTATTTAGAATTATGAAATTTTGGAAAAACATTTACTTATTTGAAAAATTTGAATGTTTGTTTATATTTTGAAAATTCTGAACTTATCAGAGATGAAATGTCGAAGCGCGTAAGCGCCGCATTGCAGTCTAACGGATGAACATTGGTCTTAAACCTATAAAAATGTATACAAAATTTGTACTTATTATTAAAATATTTATAAAATATCTGATAATTTGACATGCATATCAAATTATAAGTCTAATTATCATTCTTGACTGACCGCAAAATGCCAATTTTTGAAACTTTTTCCTTCGTATATCCGAAACTGCTGGACTTACTTTACCAAAAATTTAACTAGTTCTCTACTTCGTCAATACAAAAAAATGCATTGTTTGAATCATTTGAATCGGACTTTTCGTTAAAAACTTAATTACCATTTTTGGCACTTATTTTCCCATATTTTTGAATCCACTGGACATGTCTTTGCCAAAAACTAATCAGCATTAATATGAATCGAATGCTTTTGAGTAATTGAAATTGGTTTATCCATATTTCCGAAATCGTCGACAAAAATTTGTATTTGAACACACACACGCACACATACATCAATTTTTTGAGGTATGCTAAAATGTTCAGTAATCTCTGAAACGTACAGATATATAAAAAAGATGTTCTATTTCTTGCGATTACTATAACTTATCCTACGGGTGGTCAAATATGACGAATATTGGTCGATCTTCACCAAAACCTATTTAGCACGATTCTCAACTGGTCTTTTGAATTTTTGAAATTCGAACAGCTTGTAGAATATTTTACAAAATTTTTAGTTTATTTTAAGTATGGCTTTACAACTATCTCAAACAATACGTAATTAATATAAAATATACCTTATACATCTGCATTCGTACACAAATGCAGAATCTCAAGATAAACGCATCTTATGAACCAGGAGTAATCTTCTAAAACATTTTCTTCAAACGCAAAGCCAAAATATTATCTCGCCTGTGTAAACTAAAACGTTTTTACGTCTCACAAGTGCACATAGGAAAATTAAGTCATGCATAAAACAGTAACAAGAAATTCATTATTTTTTCCTCTTGTGAAACGTGTTCGTAACAAAGGCTCAATTTTTCGTCTGTCGGCAAAGGGGGACTTTTTCGTCTATGGGGCGACTCTTCCAGGCGATTCAATCCTACGCAACGATCGCGGTCCGAGAATAGTGCATGTATAATTTAAGAGAGAGTACCATTTCGGCAACCAGATACCTCATGCCCCCAGAAAGTAAGGTTTAAAGATTTATTCGCTACTGTATAACTTCATACATAAGCAAATAGCTGAGCGCCCTGAGAAGGGTTCAATATATTTGACTGCCAGGATTAAATACGGCAAAGATGAATGACGGTGCTCATATCATTTCCCTTACACACCGAGATGTGTTGTAAAATACGCTTATATATTAAAGATTATGTATGGAATATCAGGATTTAAATCATGTATTGGAAATATTTATAAGGCTGGTTAAATTTTGAACAACGTTATGGTGTCGTGGAACTTATATTAAAAATCTTATCTACATATACATCCAGGGAGTCCCAGGCGGATCGCCTGATTCCCCGTCATGGACGACCACAATATCAAGCAGTAGCGATATCAATTTTTACTTACGATTAGAAATATAGATATTGAGTATGTTTCCAAAATTCCAAGAGAAAATGGTCTCACCCGGTCATTGCTGCCCTAAAAATGATAATGAGTCAGCCCTGAAAATTCTAATAATAAAGTAATAAACTATAAATGGATCAACCGTTGGGTTACCATCTAATATAAGGAGTACAATATAAGGAGAAGTCTCATCCCAACAGCTTGTAGGGCTTAAGATTTTGATTGCTGTTAAAAAAATCCATAGTTTGAATTAATCAACCGCAATTTCTTTTGTGCGTTCAAAATATATTTATACGTTTGGAAACATATAGTAACATTTTAAAAAAAAGAGTGCGCGTAAGGATCACACGCGATTGAAGTAGAACTTATTTGCTGCTGTACAAAGTAGTAAATTTAAGTTCAGTAAAAATAAATACATCATATAACAATTTTGAATAATGTTTATTAGTAATATGGTAACACTCGTGATGCACATATTTATTAGGGTCAACCATTATACACATTTCTATAATGATAAATGATAGGCATTAAAAATATGTATATAATATTTAAAAACAATAATATAATTAAAGTCACTTCAAATATGACATGATCGGTTTGTCATTTTAGGAAAAATTAGACTTTGATTTTGTGCAAAACTAGCCAAGGCGAGTCCAACGGTTTTGAAATGTCTTATATCGATTTAGCCATTTCTTGAGAAAACGTTTACTAAAATTTTGGCTCACATTGCAAAAACGTGGCTCATTTTTTTAACTTCAATGAATTTTCAAGACTATTTATCGTAGACTCATTATATTTTGGTATATTTTTATAAGACCATAAATAAACTGATTATTTCGAAAGAACTTTATTTGCCGATGACAAATATATTTTGTTATCGTGTTAACAAAGATAATAAATTAATTAAAAGATTTTTCAATCATTAGCAGTATATTTCATTATCCTTCGATAGCATCACTCGTGCAATTATACTTAAAACACTAATACAAATGTACTAATGCCAGCAATTCGAAATAATTCCCGTGCAATTGTTCCCTAATAACATGCCTGCAATCGTTTGTTGCATGCGAGCATTAACTCTTCTAGGTATATTTATGCACCCTTTGTTATATTGCAAAAACACCCTCAATGCATATATGCAAACTCATCGTAAAATTATTACTACGTGATGGTACAAAATGCACAACATTTGTAATAAAATTCATGACAACTTTATAGCTTTATAATAGATATTATTCAATAAACTGTTAAAGCAAATAATTTAGAAACATTCATAATTTTAAATTAAATTGGAACTGCTGACTTTTTTCAGAAACTATTAATCCATACTTGACTGATATATTTATAATACTTGACTGATAATTTTATGATTTTCTATTAATCTTTTCTCTAATTTATCATCTCATTTTACAGATGCATCATCAAGGCCACAATCATCCAACGAGGAGTACTCCCATTCCATCGACCACGTACCTTGCCTAAATTCTCCTGACAGCATATCTGGTGACTTGGTCCAACATTTTGGAGAAACTCCATTACATACAAGACCCCGCACTAAACGTGATCCATCACCTTACTACTACTCAGATTTACTTCGGGCCAGGTGTAAAGAAGTTTTGGAAAATAGTCGAAGAAGAGAATCTTCCGGTAGTGACTCGTCTTGTTCCGAATGTACGAGACGTCCAAACAAACCGATGCCCCCTCTGCGTGATCATTACGCTGATGAGGATGATCTCGATCCCAATTCCTTGTTTTATATGCTAGGTGGTCACAACATGACGACGAGTACACGTAGATTGTACGAGACAGCATTTGACTGTCGAGTTACCAGAACAGAAGAAGATTTAGATGCCGTCACAAATTGTACAGTGTTGCTTCACCAGCAACAAAGGTTGACGACACCTGCGCAGAGGGAACGACGCAAGAACAGGGAAAATGAGCGGGTTCCTGTGAGAGAACTTCAAGCTTTGCGTATTGTAGAACCTGCAGAATCTGAAGAAACCACAAGAGATTACAAGGCTTCTCCTCCATCTACTGCGCCCTTACCTACAAAATTCCATGGCCGTGAATTGCTGATGAATAGCATTAGAAGCGCGCCAGATCTCCAGCCGAGATTAAAAGATTTACGTCTTCCTATTAAATCAGCTCAATACAAAGCTCGACACGAACGTATTATGGAAATCAAAGGCAGGCCCAAAACTGATTCGAATAAGTTTTCGTCTACAGAAAGCATGACAGCTAGCTCAAGTGGCGGTTCTATGGACTCATTGAGAAGCAGTACCAGTGAAGGCAATAGGAGCAGTACAAGCTCTGATAGTCGAAGGTCTAGTTCTTTAAGTTCTCATAGTTCTGACTCTGGTCACAATCAAACGCACATAGAGCCAAGAACAAGAATCCTTCATATCCTAAGTCCAATCTCTGACAAATCATCTCAAGAACAAGCATCTGAAACATCAGATAACAACCGTAACAATAACTCACAAAAACCTTCTCCTGATGAGGATATTGCTAATTGTACAAACACTGAAAATTTAACGAATAAAATTAAAAGAAGACCTCAAAATAAAACGTTGACAAGTACCAAGCATGAAATTTTGGGGTCTGACAGTGGTATTTCTATAAGATCGAGAGATGGAGGAAGTGCATTCAGAAATTTTGCATCTTTGAAGTTAGGGAATCAACATTCACACACGGATAACAGAAATGATTCGCAGATGATGGATTCACAAAACGCGGATTTGCCATTTGATATGCCAAAATTACGCAGGCGTAGGGCACAGCAGCAGCAGATTGAAGCATGTACTTCAGGTAAGTCATACAATAATAGACCAATTTTTAGACAAACATAACTAAAGGCATTAAGAATAATAGATTTGTTTTTCAAAACTTCTTACATTGGTATTTTCTACTTTAAAATGCAAAAGTGATTGAATTTGTCTGGATGCCATGTAAATAATAATATAATCGTTATACTTTTAAGGGAGTGCAACATCTGTAGATCTTCGTGACTTACCTTTTGATATGCCAAAACTGCGAAGACGTCTAAGAGGCCAAAATACACAACATTCACATAGTACAGAGTCAAGTGGAGTATCACAGGCGTCTTCTAGTCAAAGTGTTAGAGATGGTGAACGACCATCACTTGGTAATTAATAGACAACATTTATTAGCGAAACAATTTAAACTTAAATCATGCAGCAATAAATTGTATTACAATATCATATAAAAACTATTCTAGGTGCATCTATGTTCAGAGAGAAATTAACTCTTAATCTGAGGTCAGATGGAGCTCCAAAAAACTTAGGTCTTGATTTAGCACCACGAATTGGGTCAATGCCAAGGAATTTAAATTTAAATTTAGGTTTATCAAACTCTGGTCCGGTGGAACTTGTTGACTCTTCAATACCTTTGGAGAGGCAAGGGTAAGTAGAATAATTCTCATATAATACTATATATTCTTGGTCAATAACAAAATTTTATTATATATTATATTATTCTATTATTATTTTATTATATTTTATATTATATTATTCTTATATAGTTTTTAGCTAATTAATAATAAATTTTGATATTGTATTAGATGGTATCATGGTGCGATAACTAGGGTGGAAGCCGAATCCGTCCTAAGACTAGCTGGTGAAGGAGGATTTCTGGTTAGAAATAGCGAAAGCACACGACAGGATTATTCACTTTCTTTAAAGTAAGTAGAAAATATTAATAAATAATTTTTATACAAAACAAACAATGTAATATTTTATCTGTAAATATGTTCATATCTACATCACATGATTGACTTGTGACAATCAATTCTGGAAAATATATCTATATATAGAATTTATCTTTGTGATGTTTTATACAAAGTATTATCATGACTTTTTAGAAGATAACTGAAAACTTCAAAGTTACTTCTATTACATTACATAATTCATTTTTTTTTTTTACCTTCAGGAGCGTAAGGGGTTTTATGCACATGCGGATCCAGCGCCAACCTGATAGTGGATATTACGTTTTAGGCCAATTTAGCAAACCGTTTCCGTCCATCCCCGAAATTATACAACATTTCTGCAAAAACAGACTTCCAGTTCGAGGAGCTGAACACATGTGTCTACTGCAACCGGTAAACGTGCAATTGTTGTAAAATAACCATCCAGGATAATCGAAATTGAGAAGTATTGCCTGGATTTCCACTATAAACGCCAAATCATGTCATATCCTTTACTTGTTTACTTCTGCGTTATCCTCATGGCTTTGGGAAAATTATACACTACTTTTTTGGTAGAAGGTTGTAGTTATTGGTAATTTCCTAAATACGTCATCCTGGAATTTGTGTTTGTTAAAGATGTTAAAGATTTTTCACTCTTCTGTTTTTTCTCTATGTTTCCATCTATCCAAGTATTACAGTATGTTTTTTTCATGAAGACAAAAATGCAAGTCAGGTAGATGAAATCATGGTTCGTATTTATGGTTCCAATACTGGTTTAATTAATTTTTATATTAAACCTGCATCTGTCGCAAGCAGAAACTTTAACAAAATAACGGTAAATTTACAAAACTGATCACTTATAAATTATTGTGGTTTCTCTTGAAACTTTTAATTTAATAGACCGATTCTGCCGCATAACAGACAAATGTTATAGCAAGGCTATGTTATGAATAATTTTCCATACTAAATCGTTCTAAATATTGACAAAATCCATGGGATTGCTGTGCAGTCAGGCGGTTTTCTCAGGTTGTCAGATAGAAAACCTAACCTAGAAATCGCACAAATGTCAAAAAAACTATGTTAGATAACAGGGTTTTTCTGACCTAGCTTCATAACATACATGTGATGTTGCAGTTTATGTGTTAAAAGTGTAAATGCACAGCAAATACATGACATTTTGTTAGTATTCAGTATGATTCAGTAGCATAATATATGGAAGTTGAAAATTTGAATTCAAAATTTTGATACCTATGTGCAGTTGCAGATTAATAATAAAACTTGCATTTTTGTCCGAATTTATTTTGTATTCAAAAATATTTTGTGCTGTTTATTTTTTAAACTACTGCATGAAAAGTATACTAAACAAAAAAAATTACAATTACAACTAATAATTTAGTATTTAAATTATTTTTTGCCTACCAAGTGAATCAATAAACCTATTAATAACTCAATATTTGCAATAAGTATTTAAACAATGCAAAGCATTATTTTTTATATAATTCAACCATGTACGTGAGCCCACAGGCATTGAAATAATAATAAAAAAAACGTGCAATAAAATATTAAACCAATGTTTTGGCCCAGAAAATATACTATACTCATATATGACTAGTATTGTAAATTTGAATAATATTATAAAATTAAGTCTGCATGCTACTATGCAAATGTAGTTCTAAACTTAAATGTTGTATAGTCATGATTAATTATGACAAACATTTTACATTTTTAAGCAGATTTATTATATCAGTAAAATATCTATGTATGATAGAATCATTACAGAAAAACAGTTTTGGAATTTGGTTGAAATTTTGTAACTCCTTACTAAAAAGAGTAGCTGCAAATGATAGAAGGAAGTGTATTTAGACATTGACAGTTTCTTGAAATAATCGAAACATTTTTTTGCTGAAGGGAGAGGAATTTATTATTCACACAGGTTTAGTATTGAGTCGAAGTCGAATTGAAGGTTCAGGTTATGTTTAGTTGGCAATATTATTGATCAGATTTCCACGAGCAATTGTAAAAATAATAGTTATGAAAAATTCTGCATTTACGCCTTTGATAGCGCGGTTTTTATACTACGCGAAGCTAAAATGACGGCCGCCCTCCTATAGCATGGTACTCCAACAACGCAGTTGGAATGACTCTTTTAACTAGATATTGTTGTAAAAGGTTTTAATATAGGTTTCATTATATACTGTTCTACTTTTTGCAATATATTTGTAATGTAACATAGCAGTTTATATAATATGTGTGTACCACATTGGATTTAGTAGTATCAGAACTCTTCCACAGAACGTTAGTCTTTCTAAAAAAAAGTTCTGCTTGAAAACTTTTTTGTTGAAAATCAGTTTTTTACCTTAGCTTTTTTACCTTATTTTACATCATGTCTTTGGATGTTCAATTCGATGAGAATGATTTATACTGTTTCATCATATTGCATATTGGGATGCTGAATGGGATATTTAACTCGAAAATGCATCTAATACAATCAATCACAAAAGATCCATCTTGATAACTAGATGTTACAGTACCGCATTTTTTTAGATTTTTATTAAACTCTTAAGTTCCTTAAAAAAGATACATCTTTTATAATATCTTTTATAAACTCTTCAATTGCATAAGAACAATTTATACTTTTTTATGTCCTTTGTATTTATTGGTTTCCATATAACGCGGTACAAATGATGTGATTTGAGGTTCTTACAGCACGGTTTCCATACAACGTGATAGACGTTTTTCATATTCAATTTTATAATTTATTTTGTTTTTTTGCATTTATTGGTCTCCATCAGTCTTTGTATAACGCGGTACAAATGATGTGATTTGAGTTCCTTACAGCACGGTTTTCATACAACTTGATAGGCGATTTCCATATAACGCGCTACAATTTTGCCTGGTTCATACGGTTTCATAATAGAGGCAGGCACTTTACTGCGTTGTAGGAGGGTTGACTTATTAATTTCTTTAATTATGTACTATTTTATTTTCCAAACCTTGTTGAAAATTAAATAAAAATGAGTTAACCACTTTTGTTAGTGGAAAGTAATGGTTTTAATCGTAATATGTAAACTTAATTGGACGTCTTAATGCTCTTGGAAATACTGATTGAAATACAGTCAACATGTTTATTTAAATGTTAGACTAGAAATTCTGACTTAAATAAATAACTACAATTGTTAACAATACATAATGTCGTTTGCAAGCTCTGCAAATACTATATTTTCTCTTACCTTCGAAAATATTTTTGCGCATTAGGTTTCTGAACTATATACAGAGCAATAGAAATTTTTTAAAAAAATCAATAGATGTAGGATATAATTTTTTGAATCTTTGAATTTATTCTTTCTTATAGTTTGTTACATTAATCAAAAATGTCTAATAATATATTTGTTAGAGACATTCAATATACTCCACATGTGCCGAATAACATGCCATGACTATATAATAATTACATACTTGCATGTTCCGATTCCACACAATTTTATGTAAAAATCTTTTGTATTTAGATACACGTTTTTATAACATATATTGTGTAAGGCATTTGTATACATATTTTATTTCTGCTAAATACACTCATGTATTACAGATTTATTTATATTTAAGCAACTAGAAAAAGTTATCGTTACTTTATGTGATATTTTGGTATATCTATAATAATCGAAAAAACAAAATTTTAGTTTTTAATATATTATATTAATTGTATGTAAAAATACTAATTATTGAAAAATATAATTATATTATAAAACAATAATTTCAACAAATAAATCATGCAAAACGTCTGCTACTTTTTATTTCTTAAGTACATTTCTTATCACTTTTGTACAGTAATTGATTAATATTTTGCACTAATAATTTATCAGTGTTAGTATTTTCTAAATGTGATAAATCTAAAAAATATTTTTTTCTAGATTTATATTAATTTAAATAAAAAAATTATTCCTTTCAAAATCATATGTTTAGTGCAATACTGATTATGGTTAATCTTTTTTAATAGAATGATTGCTCTCATGAATAAATTGATCAATGACTAACACCTCATTATTCATATGTAAATGTACTGAGAACGAAATACTTTGCATAAAATAAATAAATTAATAATTGCAAAATATTAGAGTATATGCAAATCAATTTCATATGAAACTTTTACACTCTTTTATCTTGTTTTTTATTCTTACTTTTTTACTATCTTCGAATGCTAAATTTAACGTATATTAGGTGGAAACATATTGGAGCAGTAACCAAAAAGATGGTCTTCATGTTCTCGACAATTTGGGTTTGGATTAACAGATTGTGCAAACCATTTAAATAACAATTCACTAAATCCAGAATTTTGGTTGACAGAAGACTTTAATTAAATATATACGTGCTTGCAGATATTCAAGCATGAATATCAGTTTCAGATATGAATTTTGTCATTTATATTTAATGACTAATTGGCCATTGATATCTGTGGCTGACTAAGTCGGATTAATGGCTGATAAGTCATCGAATGCATCATCGCAGAATATGTGGATAATACGTCTATATATATATATATATATATATATATATATATATATATATGTGTGTGTGTGTGTGTGTATATATATATATATATATATATATATTAGGGCGGGTCAATTTGAAGGTCACTTAGGCACATATAAGATACTTTTCTGAAGAAACCATTTGGCATACCTCAGAAAAAATGGATGCATGTGTGTGTATGTATGTTTAGATACATTTTTTTCCCACGATTTTGGGCGCTTGGATCAACCGATTTAAATGATTCAAAAAACAATCGATTCCTACTCATGAGAAAACGTGCTGATTTGTTCTTGGCAAAAAGAGAGGTCTAGCATTTTCGAAGATACTGAGCAAAAAGTGCCAAAATTGGTAATTCAGTTTTTGAGGTAAAGGAGCACCCGATTTTTAAATGATTCAAAAAACACTTTATTTGTATTGATGAAGTGGAGAATTGATTAAATTGTTGGGTAGGCAGGTCTACCAGTTTCGGAAATATGGAGGAAAAGGTAAAAAAAAAGATATTTGGCGGTCTAAAACGATCATTAAACATATGCATATCAAATTATTAGATATTTTGTAGGTGTTTTAACAATAAGAACACATTTTGTTACAATTTTTTTGGTTTCCGAACCAAGATTTTAACTTTTGAAGTTCACTTATACGGTTCAAACAAATTTTGAAATCTCAGAAAAAAAATTCAAAATTTTCAAAAATATACAAAGTTTTATACTTTAAATATGAATTTTAAATTTACAATTCAGTATAAAAATGTATACATTTCATATGCGTTATTGTAATTGTAAGAAATATATCCTCAGATGGATTTATTCAGCCGTTCTTCTTAAGTAAATAGTTTCAAGTGTTTGAGTGATAACTGTATATAATATGAACAAATAAATATGTAGTAATTATAATTATCTCTTTAATATTTTAAAATATCAATAAAACATTTTAATGTTTATTGAATTTTTTTTTTTTGCTCGAATATAATTGTGGTACGGAAAGTTCCAGCAATTTGCCTTAAAGCACGATTGATATAGATAAATAGTTTATACTGATTACTTAGGTTGCATGCTCATATATTGCACTAGTTGAACCGTATTATGCTTATTTATCTATGAGTTGAACTTCCTCACACTTTTAGAATATCTGGTTCTGGTTCCTCTCTCTATTATCTTTGATTTTTTAATGTTGCAAGCACTGTGGTGAGCGCTGCTTGACATATTTTTATTGATAAGCATTTGATAAAAGTCGACTGTCAAACTTACATCTCGGCGATATTCTATCGCATTGATTACTACAACGCAAAACAACTTTTTAAGGAATCCATGTTTGCAAACGAATAACTTTTTTTAACTGTAACACTACTAACCCGTCACCATCAAAATGACTATTCTAACAAAGGCTGTGGGGGATAAAAAAATAGACAAATCTGATTTACCATTGGTGACAGCAATCGATGTAAGTAATAATAAACACATACTTATCGTTATAAACTTTAAATCTCTATTATTTAAAAATGTTATTTTTTAGACTGGACATGATGACATGGTCAAAAATGATATTGAGTCTTCGATATCTAGCATTGAAGACAGACGTGTGAATAGGGCCAGAAGGGTTTCCACAGCCACTACTCTCTGTTTATTTTTGACTGCATTATTAGTTCTGAGCATTGGTGTTATTGGGGGTGTATATCTGTATAGTCAATATGCTAGAGCCCGCATGCACCGATTCCATGGCTGGTGCAACATTCCCTATGATGGAACTAAGGTCAGCAATAAAATATCCTTCTAAATCCGTTAAAACACCATTCAAACTCAACAATAACCATCAACGATTCATTTTGCTTACTTGTATATACATATGTTTTTTCCAAGCTATTACATATAACATGATTACATACACTGTTGTTAATAATCTCTGTAAATAATGTAATTGTGCTAATTAAATAGCATATACAATAATTATTTTTTATTTCAATAGTATACACTATTTTGAATAATAAGTTTTAACATAGATTGTGACCTTTGGACTTTGACCTTATTCTTAAATACATTGTTGCATTCATATTTTCGTAAAGAAATATTAAATATAATGATGTCTCAACTAAATAATAACAATAATGTATTACTAAATTGCAAATTTGTAAAAATGTACATTTTTTTAATTTGTTATTATTACTCTTAATAGATATAGCAAGAAAAGTATCGATTATCTTACAATGCAGGAAAACTTTTTATTTAAATGGTACATGTGCAATCTTGTAAACATGAGTTAATTTTACTGAATTTTATAATTATAAAACCCAAAGGGTTGTTTGTCAGGGGGTAACATCACTGTAACAGCCTAAAAAAACATGAATTTTGTCATTTTTCTGGGTGGAAGAGAAGATATTAAAAATATAATATTGCAGGAATTTATTTAGTGTATGTTTAAGAAAATAGAAAAATATTCAAAAATGATGGCACTACAGCCATTTTCATGGGGCGTTTATGATTTGATGTGATCTTCGGCACAAAGTGTTGCTGCTGCAAATTTGTATCTAAATAAAGATATTTATTGTAAATGTTTGTTGCTAGAAAATTACATGTGGAATTTCATATATATTTATTTTTGTTTGATAAAAATTTACAGTACATTACCTTTTAATCAGATGGTAGTTGTTGAATACAGTTTTCATATCATTAGAATTTTTTATTTTTTCGTGGGAATATATCTAGAAAAAAACAGTTATTATACGTGCTTATAAAAAGTGTTGCTACTGCAAATTTGAATCTCAAAAAAGACATTTATTGTATACGCTTGTTGCTAGAAAATTACATATAGTATTTTAAAAGTATTGATTTGTGTGTGATAAAACTTTACCGAACAGTTTTGATATTAACAGAATTCTTCACTTTTTTCTCTATAAAAGAAACACTTATTGTGTACATGCTTGTAACTATGTATTGAATTACATATTTATTTATTTACTTATTTATTGTAATAATATAGCCCACAAAATAGTTTCAAGAGGACCTAAAAATACAATTATTATGCATATAATATGAATAAATTACAATATATAGCATAATACATAATGCACTTAATAACACAAGATTACATAATACTGAATGTAACGTTATTTAATTACATAGAATGAGGTAAAGTAATATATAGCTGATATTTGTAATAGAGCACATAAATCCTTAGAAATGATATTAAGAAGCTGTAAAGAATTTTAATTCAAATAATGCACTACTTATAGAGAATATATTATAATTCCTTTACATTTTAGGCCACCATGTTTATTGGGGACAACTTAAATGATGCCATCCAAGAGCCTCGCTTAGCAAGCAGTGATATGTCTATGAATGCAATGGATATGGACATGGGAACATTCTTCAAAGAAGAGTTTGATATTGATATGGAGGAGGAAAATTATGAGAAAATTGATGTACCTGATTTTCGTGGAGGCAGACGTGGAAGATTCATCCATGATTTCAATGCCAACAAGACAGGTAATAAATCTAGTAACTTTGTAAAGTCTGTTTTGCAAAATAGTTATATTTATGTACTTAATATTGTAAAGGTAATGATGATCTAGTTTTTAAATATTTATTTATTTAACAGGCATTATTGATATGGATGGCCATCGTTGCTTTGTGATGCCTTTAAATCGTGATGCAGTTTTGCCTCCACGATCATTGTTTGATCTCATTCATAAAATGTGGGATGGTTACTATGAAGTCAATACTGATGTTGTAAGAGAGACCATGAGAGTTGTATTGCCTCCTTTGGATAATTTAGAGGAATTTGGTGCTTATATTTCAAAAGAATGCAAAGACTTGCCAACATATCAATTAGAAAAATTTGTAGGAGGAGGTAAGTAATATAAGTAACATATGTATAAACTTTAATTGTGCAAATGTTAATTGTGTATTAACTTTTCAGTGTTTAAACGCTCTATTGATTTGCATGAGAATGCCAAGTTTGCTCAATATGCAGGAAATGGAATCACTGAGTTAGACATCATGAATATTGAAGATGCTTGGGCTCATGAAATGTCTAAATAGGTGGTTATTTACTTAATATATTATATATATGTATGTAAAAGTGAACAATATTTTATGCTAAGTTATTATAACTATAATCATAGTTAAGTTACTGTTTTCATACGTTTATTTTTATATAAATTTCTAATCGTGATTATCATACTCACTTTAAGTTCTAAATTTACTTAAATTTGAATTGTTTAAATTATTATTTAAATCGTATTACATCACTACTGATTAGTATAGTTGGTAAATGTGAATTTGTACCATACAAAAAAAAAATGTATTGAAAATTATATCCTTACGTAGGAATGAATTGATATTAGACTAGCATTGATAGTTTTATAGCCGTAATAAATGTTTTACAAAAGTTTGAAAATAATCTGCATTTTAACAATAGTTAAGAATATAGATAACAAAATTGATAGAGATTTTGGAATACAAACAGCACAAATTAAGAGAGAAATACTTAAAAATAATTTTATATATCTTTTCATTCCTATCTTTTAATATTTATTAAGTGCATAGAGGTGTTTTACTAAAATGATTAAATTATAAAATTTGAAAGTTATTGCTGTTAAATCAATAAATATGCAATAAATATTTTATTTGTATATTCTAATCCAAATTTCAACTTCTCAGGTACATCATTACACATAATCAGGTACAATATCAGTGAAAACCATGAAAGCTTTTAGTGCAATGCTTTTATTACATGGTCAAAATATATAAAATACAAAAATTAACATTATTTTTTAGCAAATGATATTTTCATAGCATGGGATGGAGTAATTTTGAATCCTTGTAAAGCATCTCGAGCAGCACCACTCTGCAATTCAGTAGCAAACTCAACGAAGGCGATATCGTGACGATTGGGGACTAATCTGACTTCTTTGAAACCAGGGAACCTAAAAAGAAAGGTAATTTTTTGTTTGATAATTTGCCTGATAGTCTGAACTTGATAATATTTATTGTACTTACTGGTTGAACAACATGGATAACATCATTTCTGTTGTTTCATCTGGTAAGTTAGTAAGGAACAAAATTTGATTTGGTGGTTGTTCTGCATTAGGGTTGTTTGATGAATGGGATGTAGTGCCATCACTGTTAGAACTTTTGCTTTTCTTAGCCCTTAAACGAGAAAACAGAATTATGTTGGAACAAATCTGTTATAAACAAAGCATATGAAAAAATTTATAGTATACTTACTTTCTCTCTTCTGGTGGAATAACTGGCTTTGGTGGCTTGTGCTTTTTAGGACGTTCTTGGAATGTACCTTTCATCTTTGCTATAATATCACTGTCGGTTTTACAATACTGAATTCTCTGTAAACATTATATATAATTGAATATCATTGTATACATTTATTACTATTATAAACATATATATATATATATATATATATATATATATAAGTTACACTTACCATTGGCTTGTCATAAAATGGAAACCCTTGCATGCTTCGAAGTGCATTTGTAGAACTAGCAATTTCTTTAAATATAACGAAAGCTTGTCCTCTCATTTTTAGTGTACGCAGAGCTACAATATCTAATATTTGGCCAAATTGTGAGAAAATAGCATACAAAGATTTAATCAGTTCATCTTTCTTGACTTTTTCATTGAGGTTATTGATGTAAATCGTATTATTCGGCCTTATATCCATGGTTATTCGGGTTGGAGAAATTTATCCACGACACAGTTAATAACAAACTTTTTTTCTAGTAAATATACAGCCGGTGAAACGCTTTTTAAGACTCAAATTAATGAAACAAATATTTTGCTGTACTGCAAGCGTTTTTATTATTAGCGACTTTAGCATAGAGTGTTTGTACACGCCAAGAAGATCTTCGAATATGTATATCAGCGCCACTGATTCGTGGTGTTAGATTTTTAAACATTAAAACGAAGTACCATCTTTACTTCTTTATCTTATGCCTATGCTTAAGCACGTTATGGCTGTTGACAAATGACTTTTATTAAGTTAAGTTTTAAAATATGATTTGTGTGTGTAACAATTTATTTTGTGAACAAGATGCTATTTAAGGTAAAATAGTTTATATTTAATAAATATAATCATTGTATTAATTTTGTTGTTTGTTCAAAATTGTGCGTTGCAAAAATGTATTATATAAAACATTGTATATATACAAATACAATGCATTAGTCTTTTCAAAATTGTATCTATTAACATATTTGCATTGCTAACAAATATTAAGTCTTAAATTAATTATGTCATTGTCTTTACATATATATTTAAGCATGAACGACGAAAATTTACAATGTGTAAAAGTGACATTTTGCATTGAAGGAAAATGCCTAAGCTTCTCAATATGTGTAAATAATACATAAGATCGGCCTTCCAAAGTTAGTGGGGCATTCTTAGTGGGTCAAAAAAGAATTTTTCAAATTTTAACCCTCATTTTTGATAGGTCAATGCACGGGACATCAAAATTCATTTTAGAGGTATGGTTTAACAAAGTATATTTATTTTCATTCCCAGTATTCGTAAATCATATGTGCCAAAGCGATTTTTTTTTGACTCATATATTCAAGTTTTTCTTACACATTTTATTTTACTTCGTGCTATATTTTACGATATTCGTTTAGGCCATGAATTTGCTGTACAGAGTTTTATTAAAATAGTAAAAAAAAATCAAGAACAATTAATGACTATAAACGGTCCGGCTGATCTCTACCAAAAACCTCAGCACGATTCTGATATCTTTCAAACAGATTTTCAAATTTCAAAATTGGTTCACGATAAACATACGATAAATGCTGCAAATTTCTGCTAATTCTAGAGAATCGGTTTGACCGATGATCTTTCCGTAAAACTAATCAACGTGAGTTCTTATAGAGTTCCAATAAATGGCTTTTAAATTTTTAGAATTGGTATAACAATTCTCATTTTTGAGAAATTGTCAAATCAAAAGGCCGAATTTTGGCTTACATACTTATTACATACACATATAAACTTTTCCCAGTTTTGATGTCAAACGAGTCAGAATGACATGAATCAAGAAAACAAAATTAGCAAATCGGATTTTCTGTCCAAAAAATATTTTTTTTCTTCTGGAAGTTAATAATGAACATATATGATGAGATGCATTTATTATTCTTAATTAAAAAAAATCAAGTATAAATAGAGATTTATCAATTAATTGATCACAAATATATTAAGCACTTTTGTTGTCTTTATTCTCTTCTCCAGGTGATATATCTAGACGTTCTGGTTTCTGCATTTCATTAAAATTACTGTTGAAATATAGTTCCTCCAATTTTGCATCTGGCTGCACGTTTGTAGATGTCGATGCTCCTAAATTGATATCAGTGTTTTTAGCATTATTCGACAAATGCTTAATAAAATTCAAATTTGTGGTTTCTGGTCCAAATTCTCCCACAAGCCAATTATCTGATTCTAAATGCATCAAATCTCTAGTGCTGAATAAAGAACTTTTATCAAAGAAGCTTGTTGGACCAGATGTTTCAATGTTCAGTTTACTCATAAATTGAGGGTCAAGATCTGTAAAATTCTGATCGAGCGTTGGTTCAAAACTGTCCAAAATGTTGCCAAGGGTAAAATTAGTTGTCATGTTAAAATTATCAGGAAAACCTATATTTTGGAGATTGCTTTGGTTGCCAAGTGTGAAAGCTTCAACTTTCGGATTATTCAAGCTAGGAAACTGATCACTCTGCAAATTTAGGTCTAAACCGTGTTGCAGAATGTCGCTGTTGTTATCCAAACCTATTCGAAAATTAGTTGCGTTCTGTGAATTTTTAGTATTATTTCGCAACTGAAAATTGTTCTTTTCCCGTATGCTTTCTCCAATTTTGCACAAACTACATTGTTTGCTTTCTATTTTCTTCTTAATCATCATCAAATCTAATCGTACTTTCGATAAATGTTGTTTCTCCAATTCAATTTTTGATTCTTGTTCTCGAATCAAATTTACTTGATCCTCCACTGATCGAGTTTTGGCTAAGAAATCTTTTTCGGCTTGGCGAGCTGCTAGTATTATTTTTTCACTGGCTTTACGGTTATGGATTGCTGACTCCAATGCCATATTCAATTCAGATGCTCTGGGGAAAAAACAATAAAAAATTAATATTAGCAATCGTAAACAAATTCTCATTGTGAATCTATTGAAAATTTAATTTTTGAATTTTTGATTATTTGTAGTTTTTTATACAATTTTTTTACTAACAAACCTCAATTGTAAATTCCGTTCATGCTCATAAAGTTCTTGAGCCTTCATTTGCAAATGGCGTTGTTTTTCTAAATATTTAGATTTTTCTCGTTGAGCTATATTTGCAGCATCCTGAAAATAAGACAATACAAATTAATGACCAATTTCTGAATTTTTGGAATCTGGGTAATATACATTTGCAGCATTGATGGCAGCATCAATCTCGGCTCGGTTGTTCCTAGGATCATTGATGTTTTGCAATTTAGCCAATGTTTCAATTCGCATCTTTTCCGATTGTATATTTTTTCGTTCCTCATTTATTCTGCTCATGGCACGTTCTTGTTCCTGCACGAATTCTTTCTTCATAGCCTGTAAGAAGGAAAAATATTACAACCAGGTCCATAACTGCCCAAAACAGTACGCATCAGCAGAACAATGGTTCTAATTTAACTTTGGAACTGTCATGGTAAAAGATTTTCTATTTATGGTTTTTAAAGCAAATCTCAGTAAATAATTACTGAAATAGCAGAAAGAACTTTTTTAGTAGAAAAAAATAATTCTATCCGCACCTCCAATTTTTGCATATCGCGTTCGCATTTATCGTCTAATGCTCGTCTGTCACGCTCAATATCTCTCTCTTTAAGCTCTAAAATATGTTCTTTTGTTCTTAAGGATTCCTTTTCTTCTGCAAGAGTGCGATTGCTTTCAAGAAGCCGATTTTCCAAATTTTTTACAATTTCCACCATACGGCTGCGCTCAACCTCATACTTGTTCTGAAGATCCATCAGATTTTCTTGCATTGCTTAAATAATAAAGGTTAAAGCATACTGATTGAAGAAGCAAAAACGATTTTAAATGTGTTAAGTTACATTTAATTTCAGCTTCCTTATTTTTAAGTAAAATTTCCCGTTGAGCATTTGTTTGTTCCCAAGATTTATTAAGTTGCGTTAAATCTTCACAACTTTTTTCTAATAAATTGGTCGCATCTTTCAGCTTAAATGCATGGGTACTACTTTCACGTACAAGTGTATCTTCAGACTGCTTTGCTTCCCTTAAAATTCAAATAATAGTAATAAATATACTATTTTTAGATATTTTTTTAAAACCAAATATACCTTATATTGTCTATTATTTGTTGATGTTCATGTTTCATATTATCCAAATCTTTTTGATGCTTCTCTGACAATCTATCTACATCTCTTTGATATTCTTCTTCCAATGATTTCAATTTGTTATTATATTTTTTACTCATTTCTAAATTATCATCAAGTAACATTTTTACTTTTGATTCATAAAATTCTGTTAAATTTTTGTTCTCGGAAAGAAGTCGTTTTTCAACATCAGAACGGGACTGTTCTATTGTGGAAAGTTGTCGTCTGAAAAAGATAACCAAAGTTAAAAATGAAAGATAGAATGATTGTAAAGTGAGGAAATCTTTAATATATACTTATAGGATTCCTCTAAATAATCTATTTCAATATTGTGTTTTTCTTTAATCGCATCCAAAGTATCTTTCAAATACATTTTTTCAGTTTCCATTTTTAACTTTTCTTGTTCAAGAATCATCTCGGCTCTTAAATTCTCCTTGATTTCCTTCTCTGATTTATTTTGACTGGTCTGATCATTGTCAGTTTTTAATACTGGTTCAATAGTTCTATCAAGAACAGAATTTTGAATTGATAACGGAATTGGTGCAGTTGGTAAAACACTTGGTTGTGCCATTAATACCTTGAAAAGAAAATATTTTATTTATAAAATATATTGATAAAAATTGATATTTAAAAAAATAAACTTCTAATACTTCAAGATGTGAGTTGATTTTGTCTTGTTGTATACGCAAATTATTTTCGAGCTCAATTTGGCGTTGCATTTGCTTTTCTAGTAAGTTTTGGAAATGTGATTCTTGTCGCATCAGGACTTCTTGCTGACTGTAAAGTGAAAGACAAAAATATAAAAAAATACTTTAATATATATCAATTTGATAAAATAAAATAAAATATTTACCGTTTTTGTAGAAAGTTCATATGTTCTTCTTGTCCTCTAAGTTTTGCTGCCATAAGTATTTGGCTTTCCTGTTGTTTTAGAGCATTCATTGCTATTATTTGCTGACTGTGAAGATTCATAGAATTTTCATAAAATTTATTTACTACAGTACTCTCATCGTTAGTTTGCAAATGTTCAACTCTTTCTGGTTCTTGTTGCTCTCGCTCTTTACTAGTATCTTGTATTGGCGCAGTAGATTTTTCTAAATCAGTCTGTGGATTTAATAAAAATATTACCAGAATATTTTAAACAACTGCTAAATAGTGGGAGATGTACTTTTATATATCGATGACCATTATACAATTCCTACCTTTTCATTAGATTTTTTCGTAGCAGTCTTATTAGCAGTGGAACCACCTAGCCAAGAAGGTAGTTCGGGTTCATTTGGCACTTGTTTAACCGTCTTTTCTTGGTTAATTCCCAACCAATCCTGGTCTGTGGATTTTTTATTATCACTTGGTTTTGATTCAGTCGTTTTGTTCTCCTTTTTGGGGATTTCTTCATCATCATCTAGCACTGGTTTCCTGGCAAAAAGTCCCAGTGGATCCAGTACATTTTTTGAACTTCTTCTTCTCCTACTTGGATTTCTTTCCATAATATTTTTTTCGTTTGATATAGTATCGTTTTTTACTGTTGGGGCATATCCTCCAAAAGCAATGGACGAACCAGTAGCAGGCTTGGCTTCAGGTTTATCAAAATCATTTTCCTTTGAATTCTGCTTTGATAATGATTTACCTGTGAATAGAAATATAAATGGCGAAACGAAATTCTAGTTGGTAGTTACTAGTTACTAAATCGATAAAGTGTAATCATAACAAAACATGTACAATATTGAAAGAAGTCATTTTGTCACTGATAGGAAAAATGCACTACTTGTGATCGCGTTAACTATGGTGAATGTTTGATGAGAATAAATCTAAAAACTGAACACATCATTTAATAGTTATTAGTTTTTAAGGTGTAGAATAATTTCTAATACCTAATAAATCGTCTAAAATTGAATCATTATCAAATATGTCTTGTTTATTATGAATTTTACTGGTATCTTCTAAGCTTTTATTTGTACTGGCAAAATCAAGCCAAGATGCCTTCTTATTGGAACCAACTATAGGAGAAGGTGATTCCAAATCTCTATTACTTCCTTGAATTTCAATCTTTTTCTCTTGGGTTTCTTGACCCAATCGACTTGGCACAACAGTTTGATTCTTTGTTTCAGCAATTCCAAATAAATCTGATATTATTTTGGATCTATCCTTGGCTTTTTCTACTAATTTATCACTATCTTTTCTTTTAAATTTCTCATCAAAAAAATCATTTGCACTATCATCGCTCAATAAATCACCTAATGGATCGTCCAAGTCGAAATCGAAATTTTTAGTCATGATTATAATTGAATTGAATAATTCATTCTTTAAAGTATTGAACTATATTTCAAATGTGATTTTATTTAATAAATAATAACTTGACTTTATTATTATAAATAAATAAACATGGTCTGTATGACCTAGGCTGTATGACTTTTCATAAATAAACGTTGATTACTAATATCCTAAATAATTTCGGAATTTGTTTTTGAAATGTATCTGTTTACACTTCGCGTTACTATAGAAATCATTCAAGTGAAATTAAACATTTTAGTTTTTAGTCATGTGATGAATGCATTCATGATAATATATGTAATATCATGATAATATATGTATGATTCTTTTAAGAAATTCAATGTATGATTCTTTTAAGAATCTAGTTTATATATCTAATATAAAATAAGTCTAATTATATTTATATATAATTTTCATTTATAATTATTTCTACGTTTCAGGGATGTGGGATGTACCCTGTAACTTGTTAGTCTTCTTCAATTTTAGACATATTTTATATAATATATAAAATACATTATGGAAAATACTTTTTTAATTGTTCTAACTATTTTCGTCAGTTACAGTTAGGTAAATTTCAAATTTGGCGCTATCGATCGCTTATCACGAACTTCATTTATGTTTAGCTTATTGATTTCTTGTTGTCAAAACATAATCTTCGGACATCAGTTAAAAAATAATACATTCTATGAACTAACATAACCTTAGGTATAAGTAAATATAAAATATAATTTAAAATGAGTTCTACATGCCGAACTTGTGGTGAACAAAAGGATTTAATTAATATATTTGATACTGGAAGCACGATAGCTGACAAGTTAATGAGTATTGCAAATATTCAGGTAAGAATTTGATGTTTAATTTAATATTAATTCATTATGCTTATAAAACTTATTGGTTGAGCGAATTGGTTTAAAATTATGATTTTATTGTTATTTATTTTTTATATTGCGTTATTACGTTATTTATTAAGTGAATGTGAATATTTAAGACAAATTGTTGCTCAATAAATTCTCTAAATCAAAAATTCTTAAAAAGTGAATAATAATTCTCCAGGTGCTGGAAAATGATTTTCTTTCTCAAAAAATTTGCAAAGACTGTATATCAGATCTTGAAAAATCTTATAAATTCAAACTTCAATGTGAAGAGTTTGATAAAAAATATAGGAATCAATTTGAATTGATATGTGTTAATGTAAACTCTGACTTGTCTGTGAAGGAAGAAATTTTAGAAGTCCTAATATCTCCAAATACAACAGATTCACTAGTAGAAACAAACATAGAAAAAGATGAACCTAAAAAGAAATATACCAAAAGATCTACGTTTACTAAAAGAAAAGTTAAGAAAGACCCAAATAATTCAGATAATTTAACATGTGATAGGTGTAATATAACTTTTACCACTTTGGCAGAATATGAAAAACATAAGCGAACACATAGAAAACGTTTTCCTTGCAAAGTTTGTCAGAAGACTTTCAATTCAACTGCCCATTTACGACTGCATGATCAGGTTCACAAGCAAGTAAATGAACTAGAATTATTCAAATGTGATTTATGCTCAAAATCTTATGTCAGCCACACAAATTTAAGACGACATAAGTTATCCCATAAAACAATATCGCCACATCTCTGCAAATTTTGTGGTAAACGCTTCACAACAGCTTATGTATTAAGAGAACATGAAAAATATCATATCGAAGGAACAACAAAAATTATTAAATGCAAAATATGTGATGAGAAGTTTAAGTCAAGATTGCAGATGATAAAGCATTTAGAAGTGTCTCATAATGATTTTACCTTATCAAAGACTGTAGCATGTGAATACTGTGGCCGTAGTTTTATTAATGAACGAACTTTGAAATGGCATTTGAAAAAACATTTGAGTGAAAATAATGAATTTGATAGATCAAAAAATGTTGGGCACATTTGTTGTTATTGTGGTAAGTCTTTTAGGTACATTGGACCTTACACCATACATCTACGAACACACACCGGTGAAAAGCCTTATGTTTGTCCAATTTGCAGCATGTCTTTTAATAGTACTTCGAGTTTAAATTCTCATACAAAAATCCATACGGGAGAACGACCTTACGCTTGTGAATTATGTGATAAAAGATTTTTTAAACCAAGCAATCTGAAAAATCATATGAAAGTTCACACTGGCCTGAAACCTTATAATTGTACATACTGCAATAAGTCATTTTCAGAAAATTGTACATTAAAAATTCATATCAGAACGCATACAGGTGAACGACCATTTGTTTGTAATGTTTGTGATATGGCATATATAGACGGCAAAAGTTTGAAAAAACACACCTTAAAATATGGGGGAAATTGTTTAGAGATCAAAAATAAATAAAATCAAACTTGGTTTTAATTTTGTGTTTTATTTAAATAACTAGAAAATTCATGTATGTTATGAGGTAATAGGATCTTAACATTAGTGACTGTGGCACAAATGCCAGAGAAAAATTAATTTGCTCTTATATTTAATAATAATAAAATTCTCCAGGAACCAACTGTTACGAATAAATAAATTAACTTGTTTTTAAATGATGAATATATTATGTTGGAATATTAACTTTATAAAATATTCCCAAGTTTCCTTCAAATTGTAGAATATACAGATAAAAGCAATAATACACAAAACCACATAAGAGTATGTGAATGAAAATTATATTTAATAAGAACTGTAGTCGGTATAAAAAAATAAGATTCACTATTAAATAATAAAGAAGCTTAAATAATTTAATATATACATATAATAAAAATATAGAAATATAATGTCAATTAATTCATCAGTTTAATCATTTCCATACCTAATTTTTAATAAAATTTACAAGCTTGAAAAGGGTACTAAAGGTAACTGAATTTTTTGTTTGAATTCTGGGCTTCAGTGAGTATTTTTTGAATTGATTGTTTTGCCTTTTTGCAAAAGTACAAATTTTTCATAATAAAATGGGATGGATATTTCATCAGAATTTATCTACAGCAATTAGCTGCAAAAAAAACATTTCAGATGCATTATATATATTCGGATTTGTATTGTTGAATTTTGATCATTTACTTAATAGATGATTGGTATTTTATTTTTAAAGGCCATTTTACTTAAACATTATTTATTGTGTATGTGCATCATTGGCAAAATGATTAAATTGCTGTAAAATAAATACTTGATGCACATATTAGTAAGGAATAGTAATAATTGGAAACTAAATTTCAAAAAATATATTGCGGTATATTCCTCTGATCAATCAAAATAAATTCATTATTATAGTTTGCTTCTTATATATAAATATATATATATATGCAAGATTAAATTTTCTTAAAACTAATCAAATACAAAGCTTATCCTAGCAATTCGAATTCATCTTCTGAATCTAAATTCCTACTAACTTTAATGAAACTATTAATATTTTCATGATCGTTTCCACTTTCTAAAGATTTATTAGATTCTACCCATTCCTCTGGTTTATTATCGCATATTTCAAACAAAGATTGTTGTCCGTATTCTCTGACATCATTTTGAATGTCCTTGCATAAGGAATCAAAATCTGTTTGATTTGTACATAAAAAACACTGAAAAAAAAGAATAGCAAATTAAAAAAAAACTATTGACTCTATTATATGGAAATATAAAACATTTGTGCAAAATGAGGAATTGGTGATTCTTTCATTCTTCTTACCACAGCAACTGAAGGATCCATGTTCAATATTGGCATTCTTGATGCATATTTACAGTGGTACGAATTATCCATTTCTTGTTGTTCTTCTGTTAACTTATTCTCAATACTTCCTGATTTCTGAGTTGTATGAGGATCTAGATATAGTATATCATCTCCAACATATCCAAATAAATATAATGCTTGGTTTGTTTTTCCTCCAATAATACCAAGAGATTGTGGCAACGATAAACAAGTCTAAAAGTTGTAAATCAAATATCAAGGATAAAGTGATTCTAAATTTGGCTTATTGTGTTACCTTCAGATTATCCACATATATTGGATTTACTGTATTTAAACCTAGTCGCAATGGTATAATTAAAAATAAAGGCTTCCAAGATGCTTCTGAACTGCATAGATCCACTAATTTAAATATGCATACACAATTATTCAAGAGAACATACACATTAAATATTCAGGTATAATTTCAACTCACATATATCATTTTTAACTACCATATTATCAAGAGCTACGTGTATTACTAAATCACTCCAAGCGTCATATATAAGCAGTTTTCTGCAAGAAAAATAATTCTTTAAGCTTGTAAATATTTTTTGACCATGTTTTGTACATACTTCAATACTTGTGCTACTGTGTTAGGGCCAAACCATTCTCCAACTTCTTTACCCTCAGATGCGCCCATTAAAGCGATTTGGTGAATAGAAAAAGGTGCTTGTCTTTTTTCTTCAAAACGTGTTACTATTTGCAGATAAGTGGGATCTCTATAAATTGACTTTACGTAATGAGTTGTTCTTGATTACAGCCAATATATATATATATATATATATATATATATATATATATATATATATAATTGTTGTTTTATATATTATTCAGAATATATTCCAAAATGTATATATATATATATATATATATATATATATTCAATTTGAGTTTAAAAGTCGGGCATTACATCAATCTAAATAGTATGAGAATTTTTAGAAATTTATTTAAAATCCATACGTTTCGGCTAGCATCTTAGACTTCATTCAGTGGCAATCAATTTAAATATAAAAATTAAAACTAAATAAACATGTAAAAAATTTCATGGAAAAACAATAATAATAATGATAATAACACTTACAATTTAGTATCCTAATATAACAGGTGAAAACATTATTACTCCATGATATGATTATGTGCACAGTGGTAATATATATATTTTTTAACATTACAAATGGTAAAACACACAAATAAACATAAATAACTCTTAATAAGTTGAAGAAACTATGTATTGACTATTCGGAGTCTAAGATAGAAATGCTGCGTTTTTTCTCAAAGCAGTTCTTAACATGTGTTCAAATTTTATGAGAAATTTAAAAAGCGATGGGATCTTGTCATTTTTTAAGAAATTTTTAACGCTATTTAGGAACCACGTGTTTGTTTCGTTCAGGGCCGTGTTGTCGAATCGTTTGTTTATGACCCGCAGCGAAATTCTTTTAATTACGTGCTCTTCAAAATGTAAAATTTTTGGGTTGAAAAAATCCATGTTATGATTTAGATTATTTAGATGCACGGTTAACATGGTTTTGAATTGTTTAGGATTTTTTGAGTTATTTTTATGTTGATGAAGGCGCTTACTCAGGTTTTGGCTAGTTTCTCCCATATAAAAAAGTTCACAAGTAAAGTAATTAATCTTATAAACTAAGTTCCTGACGTGGTCAGAATTAAATTTAGATTTAACCCTTGTGTAAAAATGGAACTAAGGGTTGTATCGCAATTACATACCAACAAAATACATACAAATCTTTTTCATACGGTAGGCAAATGACACCAGTTTATGACTCAAGATCTATACGGTTTTTATGGTCGATGAGGTCGTTTTGTTTGTTGAAAAGGTAGTTGCGTATGTTATTTATTACTGAGTTAATTATGTTTGAAGAGTAAGAGTTATTTTTTAGTGTGCTTATTACCAGGTCAGTGCTAGCCGAAACGTATGGATTTTAGATAAATCTCTAAAAACTCTCGTACTATTTTTTTTTAGGTAACGCCCGACTTTTAAACTCATATTAAATGTATCAACATCAATTTAAGACTATTCATATATATATATATATATATATATATATATATATATATATATATTTTGTATGATTCTGAGTTTGATGTTGACATATGTATTAACAAAGTCTAATAATCGGGCATAACATCAATAAAAAAATTTTTTTTTTTATTGATGTTATGCCCGATTATTAGACTTTGTTAATATATATATATATATATATATATATATATATATTAATTTAAGACTATTCATATATATATATATATATATATATATATTTGTAAATTTTTTTTTCTCAGCCCAATATATATATATATATATATATATATATATGGATAATGTTTTTAAATATTTATTAACTTTGTTTCTGGTGTCCAATACCAATCTCTTCCTAAATGTAAATTGATAAGCGCTTGTGCCAGTACCATTTGCCCACACCTAAGCATGCATCCCCAGCCTTTGTCCGTTGTCAAACCTGGTTCCCCTATGGGAACAAATCCTCTGCGATAAGTACACCAAATTATTGACTGTACTTCTCTTCTTATTAGCTCCAATTCTACAATTATATTATTTATATATAAGTGAATCTTTTGGTGTTTTTTGTGTCTTTGATAATACCATCTTTTGCACTGAATTTCTTTCCTAAAATCCATACAGGCTCGTTAGTATCAGGAATGTCTTTGGGCTCTTGATTATCGAAATCGTGGGTTAAATAAGTTTCAACAAATCCTTCCATGTTGACATATATTGTAAGAATAATCTTTACAAAAACATTCCAAAATACTTTTATTAACCTAGTAAACATTAAAATTATTCAATTCATGAACGAGCATGAATTTGCATTTTTTCTTAGTTGTTATTATAAATATAGAACTTTTTATGCTTAAAATAAACATCACAAAAACAATTTAATGACATATGTCTCATTATGACAAGCAATAAAAATATTGGTTAGCTGCCATCTATTTTCGAAATGCTTAAATAATGATGCAAGCAAACCAGGCTGCCATCTTTAAACAAAACGGCAACATTATTATTATATTATCTAGTAGCAACATAATCGTTTTTTTAATGAAAAATATATAAAATCACCCTGAACAGAATTTTAGTAATCATTTTTATTGGAAGAATAAAATTTAAAAATGTTTTTTTTAATTTCCTTACATTAGTTATATTTGTTTGTGAGCTCATGCTTGATATGGACGTGCAGCTTGATATTGTATGAAAATATGCAATGTTGCTGCTTTACCTCAGAAATGTCCCCTTAGCATCTTGCTTCAATATTTTTAACATAATTAGCAATATAATCACTTTATATAGCGCTCCTCTAATAGAAACAAACTCATATTCACAAACTCAAGGCTTTTTGAACAGTTGCACATCATTTGCTATTAAGTTGCAACATAATAATAGTCCTAGTTATTAGGAACTGAACATTTTATATGGATGTAATTTACAAGTTCTTCTCTTTATTATGTAATAATATTATTTAAAGTTTCACTGGTATGAAATATGGTTTCAAATCCAATATAGAAACAACTTTGCTAATGCACTTATAAGTGATAAATTGATTCCTTAGTATATAAGATTTATTGGAAGAATAAGATCAATTATTTTTACTTAATGAATATTCTCCTTATGAATCAATCATTGTTCTCACATTTGTTTTAAATCAAAGAAACTAGATAAATTTTTAATTTTTTTTTTTTTTTGTTACAAGTTATTTTTGTTAATCAAGACTAAATTTTTAATAAATTTATATAATATATTTTTTCAATTTATACATTTATCTTAATAGTAAATAATGTTCTGTTAATAATTCAATCAATTCATTATTTAAATAATTATCAAAAGAAAAAGAACCTAAAGTTATGGCTCCATTTCAAAATTCAGTTGTAATGCAATAATATAATTAACGGTTAAAACCAGAATTATATCATTTTCTGTTTGAAGACCTATAATATCACCTGCATCATCTAAAGTTATGACCTTTTGTGTACCGACTTTCATTTTTTGTTTGGATTTGCGATTCTGTAATTGATAACTTCTACTATCATCACCCCAATAAATAAAAATGTGTCGATTTCCATTGCATATAACACTGTAGTTGAAATCCGGAGAACAACTCACAAATTTTTTATCTTGCTTAGAAGCCTAGAATTTTTAAATAAAACATGGTTGTCTACTATTACACAAATATAATATCTTAAACTAATTATTTACTTGAACATATCCAAATGCAGGTAAAGTTGCAATATGCTTAGGGGGCCAATTATGATCTGACTTTGGCATTTCCCAAACTAAACCGTCTACATCATGCCTCAATGTTAAAAATGGCGGAGTATTGCATTCAGAAGAATATTTAAACAGAGGTCCACACGAACCAATATGAACATGATGGGTTGCCAAATTTTCCTCTGGGCATAGTCTTTCTAAAATATAATAAATATTGTATTATTATAATACATCAAACTCATTAACAATATTTTGCATGTTTTACCTAGTGACCAATCTTTGATGTCATAATCTGCATCAAAATCACAATCATCAATTTCATCCTGTATTGGAGCAGAAGACATTGCTGACATCTCATTTTGATCTTCCGAACATAAATGTTTTAATTTCTCGTGAATTTCTGAGACTTTTATTGGGTTTGGTATTTCTTTATATACTTTTTCTCCTTCTTTTGTAAGATTTTGCCATGGTTTTGATATCAATTTATATAACACTATTTCTAAGATATTTGCATCTACCTATGATATAGTAATTGATAAATCAGTGAAGATCGAAAGACATATATATTTATTTAAGAAGATTATATATGATCAATTTGAAAATATTATATTTATAACAGAAATTCTTACCATAGACCATGTTGTCAGACCGACATCTACTTTTTCTAAAAGTTCTAATAAGGTTTCAGATTGTTCTCCTGTTTTATAAACTATTTTTAAAGAATCAGTTGTAGTTGCCACACTCAGTAACTTTTTATCTACAAATTCTTTAAACGTAACTAATATTGTTACTTCTTCCTCAGATTGGTGCCAGTTTATAAAATCATCAAAACTTATTTCTTTTTCTGATTTATTTAATTGCATTTGCTTAATTTGTTCTTCTGATAATTTAAACTTGTATTTGTGATCACTCGCAATGTATACAGCCCTACATGTGCTTTCTAATGCACAATATTGTAATGTGCCCTTGCCTAGTAACTCTTTATATTTTGTTAATGACCAAGTTAGTTCAGAATCTTGTTTAATTATAATCCAATCAATTCTATTTTCAAAAGATTTCTCATTTTTTTCTATATGCTGAAGCAAACAATGTACATTTTTCTGTCCATTACTTTCTTCTAAATGAGCATCTAATATAATAAATCCATTATTATTTTCTACAACTGATTGAGAAAATATGATTTTCCATGAGTTTAAATTTGTTCGTTCTAGTGTATCAATGAGATATATATTTTTTGAACCTGTACTTACAACAACATATTGCTCTGAAATAAATTTCATCGATGAATTATAGATTTTATCCAGGTCTTCTGATTGTGGCAGTTGGAACTGAGCATTGTCCCCAACAAAAAATCTTTGTGTTTCACGATTGAACACAAATTTATTAATAATATTGCTCGTATCTATGATGTAGGTAATATATGGTTCAAATGGATCTTTGAAGAGATGATTATGCAAACTGTATAAAGTAGCATGTAATAAAGAATATTGGTCAACATTAGGTGCAATTACATTGGGTTGTATAGGCTGCAGTTTATGTTTAATTACAGGAACAGTTTCTAACGATAATTTATAACCTTCAAAATTTTTAGTAAGCAACTTAAGATCAGGACGAAGTTCTGTGATATTAGGCGGCATCATATATTAATAGTATTAATAATTTTAGTTTCAATCGCTATATCGCTGATAGTCTTTAAATCAACTTATTGTTAACTTGAAATATTGTTTACGAATGCAAAATGCGCTTTTGAGGCAACTGACAAATACCACCTGAAGTTAAATGCAACACGTCAAATGTCAGATCATATATGATTCAGTTGGCAGAACTGTTGCATATTTTTTAAGCATAATCCTAAAATGTTCGAAAAATGTCAAGATTTTGTAAATAATATATAAATATCATAGAATTTGTAACGTTAACTATGATATAAATATGACAGTATATTCTGAAAAAAATATATCAATAACTATATATTAATATAACTAAACTTAGCAAACTTAACCAAATTTATTATAAATCTTCACTTGGTACATTTATTATTAGTTAACAATGGATTTGACAGATACTAAAAGGTACAAGATATGCAGATAAATAAGACTTAATTAGAAGACTTATCATTATCATTGGTATACTTTTTATTTTAGTTTGAATACATCTCCTATCACCCAAAATATTCTATACAATTGGGTTGACATCACGGATAACTTCTTTGCCAATGTGAAAGGTACATATTTTTTATTTTATCAGGCTGAGGCATAAAACAGATTTGTTTACATTTTAATTTTTTGAAATTTAGAACTACAACTTGGTGAGTTACTCCACGATGAGTTCTTTGGTCTATTGGATGCAATGTCAGCGATTGAGATGATGGATCCTAAAATGGATGCAGGAATGTTGTGCAACAGAGGGCAACAACCATGCACTTTTCAATCTGGCATAGAGGTAATTCAAAATTAATAAGATTGATTAATAATTATATGTAACTAATCTTATAATCCACTTATTTAGTCTGGCCAGCTAAAACTACAAGGTTTATTAGTCAATGAAACGATTGGTATAATGGACCATTGTTTATGTTGCTTAGTGTCATGGTTAGAAGGCCATTCATTAGCCCAAACTTTATTCACATGTTTGTATATGCACAGACCCCATGAAATTCAGGATAAGCATTTAAAAGCATTCTGCATAACTTTATACAAGGTTCTCGAATTGATTAAAGATTTTGTGAACAGGTTAGTACTTTAAAATTTTGTACCTTCAAAAAGTTTCTGAACTCTCAACAGCCAACCTCTTTGATACTCTTAGTTTTATTTAAAATTTTGTTCTATTTAAACAAACATTAATTGGCAATAATCTGTTTTAAATTACTGTATGCATGATAATGGTGTAATGATTATAAAATGCCTTTAAGTACATTAACTTGAATAGTTTTACTTAATTTTTATAATTTTTAATCATCCTATCAATATGTTTAATGAAATTTATAAATGTACTATAAGTAAATTTATCTGCTTATAGAGCCAATGTGTGCGAAGAGGAAGATTTTCAACCGATGTCTTATGGATATAAGTTGCATCCAGAAATTCCAGAGCAAAAAGTTATGATTTTATTGAAGGAAAGTGAGGAGGACTTATTAAAAATAGTTAGAACTTCAACTGAAGCTGAAAGCACTTGGGCTCTTCATGCTAGAATGAAATTTATAAGATTATTATATCAATCATTATTATCTTTATCAAAATTTGGGCAAAGTCAAACAAATTCAGGAAATTTAACTGATACACAGCGTATTCTAGGTAGTTGTTTAGAAGTTGTTCCAATACTTGTTAGAACATCCAGTTTTGCTCCTGTTGTAAAGGATGGAGGTACAGTGGTTAACATTTGTTCAGTCCTTGTTTATAATTAACTACATATTTTATTATTATTTTTAGAAGATCCTATCGGGTTTTCACCTCTTGTAAACCAAAGACTTTTGCCTCCAACTTTTCCTCGTTATACGAGAATACCAAATGCAGAAACAGCTTTTGGATATTTAGAAGGTTTGCTGAAAAGACTTAGATCTGCTTGCAGAGTTACTGCATGTACTGGATTTCATAATGCACTGGTTAGAAAAATAATATACCTTTTACTTATTTCTAAAAGCAAAGATTCAATTGTTAATTTTAAAGATATTGAATTTTTCATGCATTCACGCTGTATCTGTTTTTGTGTTTTTGCAGGACTTCTTTTTAGAGTTTAGCCATAAGGCAGGTCCTTGTTTGCTTTCTCGTTGTGTTCTGCAGACTTTATATATACCGACAAGCTTGCCGGAGTCTTTAAAAGAAGCAGCTAGACAATTCATTGCTCCACCATCTCTAATGCCAAGATCACCTATATTAAGTAATCATGAGGTATTGTAACCAAAAGCATTTACTCTCAGTATATTTAATTTGATTGACAGATTATAAGAGAAATATTTACAAAAATATTTGCAGGCTAAGGAATGCATAGAATCATTTTTTAATTATTGCGCACGACCGTTTGCAAATCTCCTGCAATTATGTGGACACAATAGAGCTCGTCAAAGAGATAAACTAGCTAGATTGATAAAAGAATTTTCTTCTATTCATGATGAGGTATTATGAACTAAATTATATAAACTATAAAGATATTTATTTGTATTTGAACAAATGAAAAATCAATATTTGTAACTGAAATAATGTTTATTAATTATATTTTAAGGCTGAACGTGTCGATGCTTTTTTACATCCTTTGACTATTCATCATGACGTAGGTAAAACACATTTAGCATGTTTAGCTACTTGGATATTATATCACTGTTTTAGGGTCATAGCTATGTATCTCCTGTCAGGATTGGAACTCGAATTATATAGTGTACATGAATATCATTACATATTCTGGTAAGTATAAAGCATACTTTATTAATAAAAAAGTTTTGGGTATTTTATCTAAATTTTATTAACATTTATAATAACTTTTTACTATAGGTATCTTTATGAATTTTTATATGGATGGCTGGTGTCTGCTTTGAGTCGAGCTGACAATTACTTGAGTGAACAATTATCAGCAGAAGCATTACGAGCTGCCAAAGGTAGTCGCAAAAAGCCAAGAAAAAAGAAAACTAGATCTTATGGAAGGGAAATTATAATGTATCAAGCTATGCAAAATATGTGTGGAGGATATTATAAGGTAATAATAATTGAATACTGACTAAGATGCTAACTTAATTATTATTATTACTGAGAAAATCCAATTTGCCAATTTTGTTTTCTCAACGTTCTGAATTGAACAAGGCCAAATTTGAAAAAAGTAAGTGTGTATGTATGGCGGCGTGCGTATGTGAGTCGATTTTAAAAATTTAAAAGCAATATTTGTAATTCGAAAGGACTTACGCTAATTAGTTTTGCGTAACGACCGGCCGAGCCGTTTCCTAATCTAATATTCTTCGTTCACGTTTTGACTCACAATTCTGAATCGATTTTAAGAATTCCAAAACTGTTTTGTAGATATTGTTTGATTATCGTGTTGATTAGTTTTCGGTAAACATCGGCTCGGCCATTTCGTCGTAATTACCTGTTGGCGATTTTGTTTTGCACGATTTTTATGAAACATTTTTTAACTATAGAGATCATAGGCTTACAGAATCTACTAAAATATTACAGCCTTACGACAAATAGTTTTATTTTATGTATAATTAATAATCATTGATTAATTTTAAACATTCATCAGTTTTAAAAAATGAGAGCATTTTTATCTAAAGTTGCTGAAAATTAGACCTTTCATCGTCGTTTTCTCAAAAAGAGCTGAATCGATTTTGAAAATTTAAGACATTCGATGAAACTTGACAAGCATTCGCGATAGCTAGTTTTCTATACGATCGGCTGAGCCGTTTCTTCAGAATAAGCAGAGAATTGTAAAATATTGTCTACCTTTTAGCCAAAAATCTTTTTTTTTATTGACTTTTTGTTGACTTTGTATACACGTACATTAGTCATATACATTTTATAAGTTAACGGCTTATCGGTTCGACGATCGGCTGAGCCGTTTACTTTTAAATTGCAGAAAAGTGAAAAAAAAATTGTCTACGTTTTATCACGCAATTCTGAATCGATTTTGAAAATTCAATAACCATTCGAAAGATATTTGTTGTCAATCGACCTGATTAGTTTTTGGTAAAGGTCGGTCGGGCCGGTTACTCGTAATAAAGTATTAAAAAAAAATTTTTCGACGACTTTTATGAATTTTTTTTATGGTAGATACCATAGTCTTATATGTCATACTAAAATATTACGGCCCTACGATAAGTCGTTTAATTTTAAAAATTCGTCAAAGTTTGTAAAAATTACTATCGTTTTTTGGCGTTTGTCAAAATTAGAAATTTCATCGACGTTTGCTCAAAAACGTCTACATTTAAGCTCATACTACCGAATCGATTTTAAAAAATCAAAAACTGTTCGAAAGATATTAGTTGGGAATGATACTGATTAGTTTTAGGTGAAAATCTATCAAGTCGTTTTTCGTAATTAACTGTTGAAAAAAAATTTAAGCCGATTTTTATGGAACTTTTTTTGGCGTATATCATGGTCTTATAGAACTTACTGAAATATTACGGCCTTACGACAAGTAGTTTAATTTTAAAAAATCATCAGATGTCAATCATCAGAATCAATCATCAAAAGTTCGAGAAAATGAGTAGTTTTTTTGGGGTTTGTTAAAATTAAAATTAGACGATTTACTTGGTATATCTATAGACAGAGTACTTGGTCTTATAAACATACTAAACCATTGAAGTCCTACGGAAACTGGTTCAATTATAAAAATCATTGATTTGTGAAAATTCGGGAAGTTCATGTAACTGTAAAATACCAATACCAACTAGTTTATGTCACTTTTTCAGGCATTATTAGGGCTGCAAGTCGAAGGACGATTGCCTACACCAAAATCTCCGTTCGATAGTGAACGCGTTCGTTACGAGCACCGTATGGCTCCTTTGGCCCTGCTTGGAACACCACCACCTGTGCACTACGCAGAATTTCGTGAGATGAGATCACAGCAACTGGCTGCAGCAGCTGCTAGAAGATCATTTAACGCAGCTGCAAGCGGAAACGCTGCTTGCGAAGTAGCAGACCAAGCATCTGAATTGTATGCAAGTGCGGTAAAACATTTTCATCAAGCGAGGTCACTTTTGGAAACGATCACGACACCCGATAATGAGGTTTGTAATAATTGATAAGTAATTTGTATAATAAATACTAATACAAAAAATTATTTTCCTCAGGTCACAGACATACTAAAAGTTGCCAAAACGAATTTCATCGTAGTAAAACTGCTCGCAGATGGTCACAAAAGGGACAAAAATCCACCGGAATTTGATTTTTCGATGCACCGCCATTTACCAATTATAAAGTTAATTTGAGTGTTCTGTTACATGTTTTATAGAAATTTTATGTGTAGAGATGTACAGAAATATACTGTTTCTGTCCAATAACGGTATTGAAGAAATTTATTGTATCGATTGGTGATTGGTAAGTAAACAAGCTCAAGTTCATTTTTTTATATACGTTGGTGAGTATGTCAATATATGGTCTTTTCTTGTATGAAACTTGTTATCAAATGGGGTTTCACGGTTGTTCTTTATGCTTATGCAGTTATAGAATTTATTAAAATTCTCCTTCGATAATTCAGGTTATTGGGTTATAATTTAACCCTTGTAGCTGTGGACTGTATTAAACACTGATTTATTTGTATATTATGTATTTGTTGCAGTTCTAATTACAATCACTGATTTGTTACTAAGTTTTAATGAAAAAAGATATATTTTATTGGTTATTTACACGTTGTTAAGTGGACTTTACTTCTAGAAGTGAACCATTAGTTCAATTAAAAACACTCCGCTACCCCCTCTACCAGGGGTAGCAACCATTCCGTGTAAAGCTTAATGCCTTGAAGTTTGTCACCTTCATGGCCAATATAATAAAACGAAAAGACGTCCGAACAACGGTGTTAGCACAATTTGTATGTTCTAAACATACAGGTTTTCAATCATCTTCTCGTATATTTATAAGTACAGTAGAATCTCATTTATCCGGACCTCAGTTATACGGATTCGTGATTTTCCGGACCAGTTTAATATAAGAAAATATATGTGATTGTGTACATACATAAGAAATTTTCAAATTCATAATAAATATTAGTTTCGTTGATATCTATGTACGTATTTGTTATTTTCAATAAATACTCAACAATATTCTTTATACATTTGATTATCCGGACAACAATTAGTCCGGTTAATCGAGGTTCTACTGTATATCGAACCTTACCGACACTGACGCGGTGAAAGTCTACGAACTGATATATGAAAATATTCAACACATTCTGGACCAAAGGTCAACATTGGCATTATAGAAAATTTTAACGTTATTGTTGGGGAAAAGGATAATGGAAAACTTTGGGTGGGTTGAAGAACGGTTGGCAAATAAGCTGAACTGGTAGTACCGCAGAAATAATCTCTGGATCACAAACACTTCATTTAACAAGCGGAAGACAAAGTTACACGTATGCAAAAACCAAATTGACCACATAGAAAGGGATCTAAAAATAATGTATGGCATTAACATGTCTAAAGGGCTCTGTCTACTCAGATCATTATATTCTGAATACTAATACAGAGACGAAACTATCAAATATTTGCAAGATGCGGAAAAGAAAGCAGAATCGGTATCTAAAAGTTGTAGAATTATAGAAATGTGGAAAGAGATAAAGACTAAATTTGCAAAGAAAAAGACAATAAAGGAGTCGTAGAAATAGATTGGAGAGATCAGGGCGAGGGTGGTAAGGACCAATGCTACTAACGAGCAAACTGAAAGGAAGTTCTACACATATCACCTGGTTTTGATATATGGTAGTGATGAAAAATAAAATGGACTGGCTAAATTGCACAAGTAAGAATAGAAACTTCTGTACTTTATACAAATTTGAGAAGAAGATGAAACTGTATCAGTGCAATATTGAGAAGAGAATATCTTTTGATCGGCGTCGTCAGAGGTGGAATAAAAGAATTAAATGAATTAGAAAGATTAATGCAGATGATCGACTGCTTGAGAAGATAATTAAAAGCTGTGATGCAGGACATAGAAGCAAGGATGCAATAATGTGAGAAGTAAAATATTGCTAAGTGAACTATAAATAATGGAAAAGAAGTAAATATGTGTTACCACACGATTGATTTCTCATAATGCAAATGATTATAAAACGTCGTTCTACGCGTAAATGCACACTTCAAAAGGGTGATCTATGACTTATCACAATTGTTTAATTTTGTCTTTCGAAATAATTTAAAACTAAATATGAAAACTAGTTTCCTTGATGTACGTCTTATTTATTCTGGTTTCTAAATATATAATAACAATGAAACTGGGTTCATAATTTGTCCAATCTTCAACTTGATTTGAAGATTTTCCGCTGTAACAAGAAGATGTTTATAATATTCTAATTTGGTATTTTACTTGCTCTAAACGGAGATTTAACGAGCACCCAACGAGTAACCCAGGATTAAATTGACTTGAAGTCAAATTTATTTAGTGAAATATTATTGGAATCTTTGAATCAAAGCTTTTAATGATTCAGCTTTCAATTTTATATATTCAAATGCCAGTAATGTTCTAATAGCTTGAGACGTCATGAGTACCTATTCCTGTAAAAAAATGGAAATATTATTTATCACAAAAAATGTTCACAATACGTCTTTTGCTGCTGTTTCTGTATTTTTATGCATTAAATTACTTACTTACTTTGTGATAATTTGTTTCAAGTTGCTAATGTTATGATTTCTAGAGGATTGTTTCCTTCTCTGGTTCAAATATCGATATCATCAATCTCCTGCAGGCAGTTTTGATTTTCATTGAGTTTATCATCGTCTTCAGTTTTTTTGTTATATTGCTTGTACGTTGCTAGTGGTTTTTCTTTATATTTGTTAAGAGCCAACTAAATTTTAATACATCGTTTTCAATTACTAATCGAGAATTTTCTTCTGCATTGTTCTCGGAGACGTCTAACTTTATAAGTATCTTGTCTGTTATTTTTGAAATTTCCTAAATTTGTATGTATTGTTTTACTATTTTTATTTGAATACTTTCATTTCGTTCTTTTGCTCGCCATTAGTTATACTACGTCGAAGAAAAAACTAGTAACAACTTACCTTGAAGTTTTCTCATCAATTATTTAAGATTAATGTAACTACTCATTAAACTGATGACTTTTATTTCGGTATACAATCTGATCTGATTCTCAATTTTGATTTCAGATCTTCAGATACTCATCCATTGGTTTTGATCAAGCTTATCTTTATCAGTTTCTAGTACATGATCTTTGTTTTAAGGTATAGTCACAGAATTTATCGGTTTGAATATCAAGATGTGTCCAAAATTAGGTTTTTCGTTAAATCTGCAACAATTTTTGGGGTACTATAATGCCTGCTGTTTCCATCTATAAAAACAACTGCAGATTTACCACCTCCATCACTTGCAAATAAAGCTTGTTCTGATTTTTTACTTGTAAAACTGGTATATAGTCTTGATGAATTATCGTGGGATGTTTTCAAAATTTGTTTATAAAACTCAAAAATGTATTTAATACTGCTGTCTTTGTTCGTTTTGTGTTTACCATAAGTGAAGTTATTGATTCTTGTATGAATTCTTTGAGTTTTCAAAAATATTTTATAAATATTACTGTTTTTCTTGTTTTTATGTCCAATGTATTTTACTTCAGATTCTTGATTATCTGTTTGTTCATGACGTTCATAAACTTTTTTTTTAGTTTGCACTTCGTTATTGGTGTTAATTTTGTTGGACATATAGTAATGCTTTTCTTTTGGTTTGCTCTTCTTTTTGGCTACATTTAAACTTTTAGTTTCTCCCAAAATATCATCGGTAATGTAATAGCATTTCCTAGGATCTGTCCAACAATCTGTAATATTGTTCAACTGCTTATTACTTGACTCTTCAGATGGTTGTATGATGGTTGGTTTAGTATCAACTTTGCTTAAATACGAATTGCTGCTGAATGTATAAGAATTTTGAAAGTTACTAATATCATCTACCAATTTTGGTTTTGTATCTTCACTAGTTATTGAATTATCTCGACTTCTTAGTTTCAATTGATTGTATTCACTTCCTAAAATAGTCGTATTGCTTGAAATACTATTATCACTCGCATTTTCCAGGGCCTGGTCGGTATCTGCCTTGTGGCTTGTGCAGGGATAAGAGTTCGAGTACAGATCGAATTGGTTGATAAATTTAGATGATTTGTTCTCGAAACTATCGGTTTTATTTGTTGATTCAGTTGTACTTTCACTTTCATTTACAGAATTGTCCTCTCTTACACTGTTGGATTGTGTTCCAAGGATTGTTGATTGAGATTCCATATAACTGGCATCTTCTTGAAATGAATCGAATTTTTTGTTTGAATTTATATCCATTCTTACTGAAAAAATAGATGTCAAAACCTGTCATTTTAAAAAATATATTTATTTTAATATAAAGATCGTCATCAAAACCCACACTTACCTTAATGCTAAGAGTTTCTATTGAAAAGATGTTAATATACGAAATTTTGAAGTGTTTACCATCAATTTTGATTTTTATGTTTTATTTGTTTAACGTTCGGGTCATTTTGTTTCTGTATCACTTTTGTTTGTGAAAATGTGATGTTACAATTTTGAAAATTTGACACGTCTTATTATTCAAAACGTTGATGATTTTTTATAATTCAACCGATTTTTTTTATTGTTCATTTTTTGACTTTGTATACACGTACCTTAGTCATATACATTTTATAAGTTAACTTTACAATTTTATTTTATTAGATTGTATACAGTTATATAGCGCTATATTCTTATTTTTGTCAACAATGTTATAAAATTTGTTGGGAGGATGATTTTTTGTCACTTCTTGTATGCCAATAATATTTTAGATGTTCTGGATCGTTGGAATTCGTAGAAAGGTTAAGAACATTGAATTTTATCATCATACAAAATTTCCAAAATTGTCAAAATGTTAGAAAGGGCTGGAATCCGAACTAATTAGCACTGTTCCTAACTTAAATTTTTAGAACAGCTTTTAAATTTCCAAAACCGGTTCAGGAGTTTTGGCTAAAACATGGATGGAAAATCTATAAAGAAACGACTCAGCCGATTATCTCGCAAAACTAATCAACTAGACTCCTTAGTTTTGGCTCATAAGTTTGGTCTCAAACGATTCAGAATGTCTTGAAATAATTTATGTTTAAATTATCAATTGGATGCAATTGTTTTTATTTGAATACAGAAGTTTGTCAGTGTTGAAAATTTTTTTTTTTGAAAATTTTACGTTCAATACATATTTTTCCTCTAGGGTAAGTTATTGTAAACCTCCAATAATCGAAATTGAAATTTTGTTGCATATTCAC